ACCCTGTCTCAAACCAAAACAAACAAAAAAGCCAAGTGAGGAGTAATGGGGAAGTGGCCTGATTCCCATCTAAAGTAACCGCTTACATTTTGGTGGGGAAGAGGTCTTAACAGGAAAATTTGATATGGAAAGCATGCAAGAATTATGCAGAGTACATCTGTGTGTCTTGTTCTGGTGGTTCTCCTGGGTCCCAGCCCACCTGGAGCATGGGCTAGTCTCATCTCCAGAATGGCCCCCGCTGTTGACAAGCCACCTTGAAGTAATCTTTGGAATTTTGCAGCTAGGCTTGGTTTGTCTGTCTCAAGATTAGCCCTTGGAACTTCTAAGAAGGCAGATAATACTAGCATACAGTAAGATAAATGTGAAGGGAGTATATACAGTGAGAAAGGGAGGGATGTGGGGTCTATTTTAAGGCTAAGGGAAAAGGCTTTTGCAGTTTGCTTCAAGGTTATATCTTGAAACCCAAGAGAAAGGAAGAAAGTTTTAAAACGTGTTGAGTTAAACTGCTGAATTAGTTTCTTCTAAAACATTGCCATCTCCCTCCTGCCTATGCCTTGAACTTTAAAATTACGTTTTGTAGTTAGCAGCAGTTTCAAAGATCTCCCAGTTTACTTGGACAAAGGGCTTTTCCATCGCCTGGTTGCTTACTTTACCTTTTTTTTTTTTTGAAGGGGTCTCACTCTGTCACCCAGACTACAGTGATGTGATCTCCACTCACTGCAGCCTGCGCCTCCCAGGCTCAAGCAATCCCCTCACCGCAGCCTCCTGAGTAGCTGGGACCACAGGCACGCACCACCATGCCCAGCATTTACTTATTTATTTGGATTTTTGCTTGAGACAGGTTTTTGCTATGTGCCCAGGCTGATCTCAAACTCCTGAGCTCAGGCCATCCACACACATCGGCCTCCCAAAGTGCTGGGATTACAGGCCTGAGCCACTGTGCCCCGCCCTTTACCATCTTTAGATTGAGGTTTCACCCATCCATACTTGTGATTCCCTTAAATATTAGATTTTTATAATGAAACATTTAAGATATACACAAAGATAAAATAATATCTAACATTTAGTAGAATGCAAGTTCCAGGGGCAGAAATTCTTTTGTTTCTTCTCCAAGGTATCTCGGGTCTACAGCAGTGCCTGGTAGGCACTCAATAGTTCCTTGTGTGTGTAAATTAACATAACTACATGGGCGTCTATTAGCAGTTTAAGAAAAAACACAACACAGTTGAAACTACCTGTACATCTCCCATATTGCAACACCTTTCTTTCCCAAAGATGTACCCAGTATCCTAAATTTAGTGTTTATTATTCCTGAGCATTTCTATTTCTGTGTAGGTATCCTTAAGAAACACATAATTTTAAACATTATATCATTGATTATATACAATGTAATTCTTCAGCCTTTTTCTACTCAACCGTTTGTAAATTTGTAAGCTTCATTCAAATTGATACGTATAATGTACTTAGCTGGTTTTCATTTCTGTATATGATTCCATAGCATGAAAATAAGTCACTTTTCCAATGGCTTACTGTTATAAAGAGTGCTGTGAACTTTTGTATATGACTCTTGGTGTATGTATGTGAATTTCTCTAGGGCATATATTTAGAAATGGAATTGCTGGCTGTATTAGGGTTCTCTAGAGGGACATAACTAATAGGAGATATATATATATAAGCTTGTTAAGTATTAACTCATATGATCACAAGGTCCCACAATAGGCTGTCTGCACACTGAGGAGGAAGGAAAGCTAGTTTGAGCCCCAAAATTGAAGAATTTGGAGTCTGATGTTCAAGGGTAGGAAGGATCCAGCATGGAGAGACATAGGATGGGTGGCTAGACACAATGGTAGCTTATTAGATGGTACCCACCCAGATTACAGGTGGTCTGCCTTTCCCAGCCCACTGACTTAAATGTTAATCTCCTTTGGCAACACCCTCACAGACACACCCAGGATCAATACTTTGCTTCCTTCAATCAAGTTGACACTCAGTATTAATCATCACACTGGCTGATAGGCTTTGGCTCTGTGTCCCCACCCAAGTCTCATCTTGAACTGTAATCCCATAATCCCCATGTGTCCTGGGAGGGACCTTGTGAAAGGTAATTGAATCATGGTTTCCCCCATGCTGTTCTTGTGATATAAGTGAATTTTCATGAGATCTGATGGTTTTATAAGCATCTGGCATTTCTCCTGCTGGCACTTTCTCTCTCCTGTTGCCCTGTGAAGAGATATGGTTCGCCTTGATTGTAAGTTTCCTGAGGAGTCCCCAGCCATGTGGAACTGTAAGTCAATTAAATCTCTTTTCTTTATAAATTACTGAGTCTCAAGTATTTCTTCATAGCAGTGTGAGGAGACTAATACACTGGCTCATACAATTTCTTGCATTTCCTGGGCTAAGATTCACCAAATCATCTTTAAAAGCCATTCCACTCCCATCAGCAGGGTGTTTGGGTTCCAGTTGTTCTGTATAATCATAGAAAGGTATTCTAATAGATGTGAAATTGTTTTGGTTTGCATGCCTCTTTTATTGTTTCCATTTTCTTGGTCATTAGTGTTTCTTCTTTGGATGACTTAGGTACCCATTTTTTCTTTCTTTTTTATTTATTTTCTGAGATGGAGTCTCACTCTGTTGCCCAGGCTGGAGTGCAGTGGTGCAATCTCAGCTCACTGCAACCTCCGCCTCCTGGGTTCAAGCAATTCTCTTGCCTCAGCCTCCCTGAGTAACTGGGATTACAGGTGCACACCACCACCCCTGGAATTTTTGTATTTTTAGTATAGATGGGGTTTTGGCTAGGCTGCTCTAAAACTTCTGACCTCAGGTGGCCCACCTGCCTTGGCCTCCAAAAGTACTGGGATTACAGGTGTGAACCACTCCACTTGGCCCATTTTTCCTTTTTCATTGCAGAAGTTTTAAAAATATTCAGATATTGATCCTCAATCCATTACATGTAGTTATATATGTGAATATATATATTTCGGCTAAATGATTTGAGAATGAGTTGCAGATATAACATATCACTTGTAAATATTTCATTATGAATCTCCTAACAAGAGCATTCTCCTACATAATCACAAATTTATCACCCTCATGGAATTTAACACTTAAAAAGACTATTGTCTAACATATAGTTCATAATGTTTAGAACTGTTTATATTTCCTAAATCCAGGACCCAGTCAAGGTTTATACAATGCATTTAGCTCTCATGTCTCTATTCTTCTTTGGTGTAGAATAGTTCCTCCTCTATGGTTTTTTTTTTTTTTTTAGACAAAGTCTTCCTCTGTTGCCAAGCTGGAGTGCAGTGGTGCAATCTCGGCTTACTGGAACCTCTGCTACCCAAGTTCAAGCAATTCCCATGCCTCAGCCTCGCAAGTAGCTGCGACTACAGGCTTGCACCACCATGGCTGGCTAATTTTTTTTTTTTTTTGTATTTTAGTAGAGACGGGGTTTCATCATGTTGGCCAGGATGGTCTTGATCTTCTGACCTCATGATCCGCCCATCTCAGCCTCCCAAAGTGCTGGGATTACAGGCGTGAGCCACCGCGCCCAGCCCCTCCATGTTTTATGGTTTTTTCTTGTGATACTAGTATTTTCAATGACTGAAACATTTGTTTTGCAGAATATTTCTCCCTCAATTTAGATTTGTCTGATAATTTCCTCACCAATAGATTTAGGACAAGCATTTCTGACAGGACTAGTACATGAGTGAGGCTGTTTGTCTCAGTACCTCAAATGAGGTTTTATTTATTTTTTTTGAGACGGAGTATTGCTCTGCCATCCTGGCTGGAGTGCAAATGGTGCAACCTCTGCCTCCTGGGTTTAAGCAATTCTCCCGTCTCAGCCTCCCGAGTAGCTGGGACTACAGGCGATGCTAGCACCCTCAACTAATTTTTGTATTTTTAGTGGAGGCGGGGTTTAACCATATTGGTCAGGCTGGTCTTGAACTCCTGACCTCAGGAGAGCAGTGAGCCATGATCTTGCCACTACACTCCAGCCTGGGCAACAGAGCAAGACTCTCTCAAAAAACAAAACCCAGCAGACCACAGTCTTTTTCCTCGTGAAGCCCCTTTACTCTTCTTTCAGCGCATCCGCCCACCTTGGCTTCCCAAAGTGTTGGGATTACAGGTATGAGCCACCGCGCCTGGCTTCAGTACTTCATGAGGTTTTAGATGTCCATTGTCCTGTTGCTGGTTTCCATATAAATACTAGAATTAACTGCAAAAGTCATATAAGAACCCTTGCCAAGACTTTGATTAGAATTGATTTCTATCTAGAGAGTATTTGGACCTCTTTATTAGATTTATTCCTAAGAGTTGGACATGGTGGCACACACCTGTAATCCCAGCTACTTGGGAGGCTGAGGCAGGAGGATCACTTGAGCCCAGGAGGTGAATACTGAAGTGAGCTATGATCCACTATAGCACTCCAGCCTTGGTGACAGAGGGAAAAAAAGAAAAGAAATACATACATACATACATATATATATAATTAAATCAATTTATTCCCAAGTACCTTATATTTTCTGTCACATGGAAATCTTTTGTATTTAAAGATTTGTTTTGTTTTATGGTAAATGGTACCTTTGTAAAAATTACATTTTCTAGCTACTTGTGGCTAGAGATTACTTATTATTGATATTATTTCAGGTAGTTTTTAAAAATTTAGTTTCTTCTTTATAAACTAAACTTTGTTTTATATTATTTGAAACTTAAGATAATGACATACAGTAAAAAGTCCTCTTCTAACCCCTAACCCTGGCCATTTGATTCTTTCCAGAGGCAATCAGTATAATCAGTTTCTTGCATACTCTCCCAGAACTAGTTTATGTAGATACAAGTAAACTGAATACTTATATTTTACATATCTTATCATTAAATAAATGGCAGGGCTAGTAACAGAAATAAACGTCAGATGGAGGAATTATTGTATGAAGGACAGTTTGGTTTCATAATCAGATGCTTGTGATGATTATAATGTAGTAACTTCATGAACACTCAGGAAAAAGCAAATTATTTAATGGAAAATTCCAAAATACATGAGAGCCATTTCCATTCAATATACTTTGTTACAAATATTCCATGCGCTTACAAAAACGAAATCAGATCTTTAAAAAGAGTAGACTAGCTGGGCAACATGGTGAAACCCTGTCTCTACAAAAAATACAAAAAAATTAGCTGAACGTGGGGGCATGTGCCTGTAGTTTCAATTACCTGGGAGGCTGAGGTGTGGGGATCATCTCAGCCTGGCAAGTCAAGGCTGCAGTGAGCCAGGATGGTGCCACTGCACTTCAGCCTGGGCGACAGAGCAAGACCCTGTCTCAAAAAACAAAACCCAGCAGACCGTAGTCTTTCTCCCCATGAAGCCCCTTTACTCCTCTTTCAGCGCATACAGCACGTCGTCCTGGCTGACATTGAGCCGCACCCGAAGGAGCAGGTCATTCCTGCTGGGTTCCACAAGCAGGAGACGACAGGAGCCCAGGCGAGAACACACAGCCATGGTCTCCGACATGGTGGGGTACGGCAGCCCCTCCATTCTGCACAGTGCCACATGTTGACTGTATATCTAGACACAAATAGTAAGGCAAAGGTTAAGAGGAAATACAATCCTGGGGCTTTTTCTTTTTCATTTCTTTCTTGGTTTGGGAAAATCAGACACATGGCACCCAGGATATCAAACACTCCAGAAGGCATCAGTGGGTGCTCCAGTGGTACAAATGCAGAAGCAGAATGGAATGCTAGCCTTGGAATCAGAAAACTATAGGCCTGAATCATGGTTCTACCATTTGCCTAAAATATATAACCCTGGGCAAGTTATTGCACTCTTTGAGCTTCAATTTTATCTACAAAATTTAATGTACATCCCTTATGAGTTAATGGATATAAAATGACTAGTAACTCGCTGGTTATACAAATAGTCCTAGAGTTCCACAATTGAGATTGTCAAAATTCAAGTCAAATTTTGCTACAAGGCCCCTTTCCTTATCAGTGAGCAAATGCCAAGGCATGAACCTTGGAAAAGCACAAAGGCCCAGAGAGAAAACTGAATAAAGAAATAAAGGGAGGCAGGAGGATAGCTGGAAACAGAAATTCCTACCCTAATGTTCCCCACTGGGTCAGGGAAGTCTGAAGCATTTCTGGTCACTTTCCATTCTAAATAACTATGCGTCCATCTGCCTGCCCCCAGCCCCAAGACTAGGAGCTTGTTAGGAACAGGGATGTTAAATTAACCAAATCAGCTCAGAGTTCAAGGATCTATCACAGTTAATGGCACACTGCAGATGTTCAGGAAATATTTGCAAACTAAAATGAAAGTCACTCTCTGCAGAAGAGCTATCTCAGACTCTAGGAGGAGAATAGTAATCGCCAAAACATGACTAGTAGCTAAAATTTTAAATAAGAATTTATAACCAGCCCAATAAATAAGTAACTGAAAGGAAAATATTTTCCTGACTTGTACACACTCGTAAACACCTTTAGCAATTCATCTTCCAAGGCTGCCAATTACCTAGGGATACCAGTCTTAAGTAAACTAACAAGGCACAGGCCTTAATGATTCCTCTAATTTGATCTAATTGACCTATGCCAATGACGTGATTAGACTCATCTGTGATTTGTTCTCAAATATGGCCTCATTCTGAAAGCCTTGGCTCCACTACAACATAAGCTGTATTGGGGAATAAATTTGGCTTGCTCATCTCATTCCTTGAACAGTGTCTGGCACATAGTAGGCCTTCCATCTTACTTGCAGAAACCAGTTGCTAAAGGTCTCTTCTCATGCAACTCAATAAAATGTCACATTAAAATAGGTGCTGGTCTGACATTCTTTCACATACTCAAGGTGGCACAAAATAGACAAACTGTTGTACATTAAAGAAATTTCCACATATTTTAAAAGCACAAGTCCAGAATCTAGGATTTGAAAAGAGGAGATCACCTGTTGAAATGTGGCTTCCTCTAGTCCTGATCGATGGAACTCTGCAAGGATGGCTCTCAGGAAGCCCTGTTCCAGAATGGAGGAATTTCTTAAAGGAAACGAGAAGATGTGAGTTTTTGTTAGTGGCTGTAACCCTACCCCAGAGGAAAGCCAAAGAAAGCTTTTCTGTGTCTTTAGAAATGAGAGAAAATCTGGAAAATACTTTTTCCTATATTATTTGGTAAGGTTCCCTCTGACCCCCAAACTCTCAAACTGATATAGAAAATGTCATTCTGGAAGTGAGGAAACATAGCAACAACGTCTGGAAATATCTTCATCACTCAGAAATACCCATGCCCTCATTTCATAAGCTGAGCGCATCACTCAGTGTTGAGAAAAGTAGCTGCTTCCTTTTTTTTCCCTGTTCCTATCTTAGCACTTTTACACCCTAAACACCTATAATACAGCTCAATAAGTGGCAAATATTCTATTATCCTAGGGTTATATTTCTTTCTCCCAGACTAGACAATGTCCCTACAAAAAAGACCTGTGTTATCAGTAAGTGCAGGTTGAATGAGTAAAAGCTGGGAAAGGGAAACATGTTTCCACAGCCTTCAGGAAGGCTCAGGAAGTGGAGCATCTTACTTGATGGCCGTGATGTATGATGACGAAAACATCTCATCAACAGCTTCCATTGAGTGGGCTATGGTAACCAGGCCAGGGGAGTTAGGCTTCTGCTGGGAGAACTCACAGATCTCTGTGGCACGCCTGCAGATGTCCAGGCAGCGTCGCGCATCTCCAGAGAGTGCTGCTACCTATGATAGGCAATATTTTATTCCTGAGGCCACCTTAGCCCAGAAGAACCAACAGATTCTGTGTTCAACTAAAAAGAAAAGGCAGTGATGGCAATGGATGTAAGCCTAAAGTTAGTGCTTAGTCCTGGCACGGAACCGTGAGGAAGAATATAAATGAATTATTATATTGTACTCTAGTCCAAACCTCTGTCTTGGTTTTACAGTTAACTCCACAGTGGACAATGCAGAGATTCTCAGCTTTACCATTCATGAAATGAAGTTTAAAAACAGAGACCCTTAGTTCAAGATTATTACTGAAGCATCTGGAAACAGAGTTCTCACTCCTTGCATAGAGAGAGACGTGTGCCCCCAGAAGGAGCCAGCCAAAGCCAAGAGGCTGGAGTGGAGCATATCTGGAGGTAAAGCCATAGCCCAGCCCCCCTTACAGCACATGGTGAATTTGGAATCGGCTTGGTTAATGGCTAAGAGGCCCAGAATCAAGAATGGAGGAAGGGGCTGGGTGCGGTGGCTCACACCTGTAATCCCAGAACTTTGGGAGGCTGCGGTTACCTAAGGTAACCTGAGGTTACCTCCGGAGTTCAAGACCAGCCTGGCCAACATGGTAAAACCCCATTTCTGCTAAAAACACAAAAATTAGCCAGGGCCAGGCAGAGTGGGTCATGCCTGTAATCCCAGAACTTTGGGAGGCCTACGCAGGTGGATCACTTGAGATCAGGAGTTCAAGACCAGCCTGACCAATATGGTGAAACCCAATCTCAGTATACTAAAAATATAAAAATTAGCCAGGTGTGGTGGCACGTGCCTGTAATCCCAGCTACTGGGGAGGCTGAGGCAGAAGAATCATTTGTACCCAGGAGACGGAGGATGCAGTGAGCCAAAATCACGCCACTGCACTCCAACCTAGGTGACAAACCTAGACTCTATGTCTCAAAAAAACCAAAAATCACTTTTCAAGTAACTCAAGGCAGAAACATGACTATTGGCTTATATTTTTCCCTTCCTCTAATCCCGCACATTAAACTGGTTAGGGTGTCCTGTAGACCTTCCTGCTTCATCAGTTCTCCTGCCCTCCCATCACCACCTGTATAGCCTGTGAAGAGGCACCTTGTGGTAAATAGTAGGGACTCAAGAACTACTGAAGGGGCCTCAGGACATCGTGAAAGGAGAACTCTGGGAGGTAAGGAAACATCTAAACCAGTTTGACCCCAAGGGTGTCGGTGAGCTTTGATGACCTTATGCATCCCTTCGGGCTGCTGGTGGGGCAAGGGAGACACACAAAAAAGCTGAGGCCCAGCCAACATGGAACCTAACAGGACATCCCTGCCATGCACCTGACCTCCACTACAGCCTCAGTACAAGCTGAGTGAGACAAATCATGCAGAAGGGATGGCAGAGGAAACCGCCTGCTTTAACTTTGGTGCTAGGTGGTATAGGGTACAAAAAAAAAAAACTTGCTTTTTTTTTGAGATGGAGTTTTGCTCTTGTTGCCCAGGCTGGAGTGCAATGGTACAATCTTGGCTCACTATAACCTCCAACTCCTGGGTTCAAGCAATTTTCCTGCCTCAGCCTCCTGAGTAGCTAGGATTACAGGCATGTACCAACATTCCCGGCTAATTTCTGTATTTTTAGTAGAGACACGGTTTCACTAGTTGGCCAGGCTGGTCTCAAACTCCTAACCTCAGGTGATCCACCTGCCTCGGCCTCCCAAAGTGCTGGGATTACAGGCGTAAGCCCTATGTCCAGCCAAGTTTTTCTTTTTGTTTGTTTGTTTGAGAGAGACTGGAGTGCAGTGGTGTGATCATGGCTCACTGCAGCCTCAATCTCTTAGGCTCAAGCAATCCTCCCACCTCAGCCTCCTAAGTAGCTGCAGCTATGGGCACATGCCATCGCACTGGGCTAATTTATTTATTTTTTTGAGATAAAGTCTCGCTCTGTTACCCACACCAGCATCCAGTGGCATGATCTCTGCTCACCACAACCTCTGCCTCCCAGGTTCAAGCAATTCTCTTGCCTCAGCCTCCATAGTAGCTGAGACTACAGGTGGACGCCGCCATGCCCGGCTAAGTTTCTGTATTTTAGTGGAGATAGGGTGTTTCACCATGATGCCCAGGCTGGTTAAGAACTCCTAAACTCAGGCAATCCACCTGCCTCGACCTCCCAAAATGCTAGGATTACTGGCATGAGCCACTGTGCCTGGCCTCATTGGGCTAATTTTTAAATTTTCTATAGAGATGGGGTTTTAATATATTGCCCAGGCTGGTCTCAAACTCCCGGGCTCAAGTGATCCTCTCACCTTGACCTCCCGAAGTGCTGGGATTACAGGCATGAGCCATCTCACCTGGACAGTCCCCTGAGTTTTCACAACTGTAAGCCCTTACTTGGATTTGTAGCCCAAATTTATGTTGTCTTTCCTACAATCCTCAAGCGGAGAATTGTATTTTAAAAATGGTAACAGTTGGTAGTGCCTCTAGATAACAGAAAAAAATTTATTTTAATGAATTCAACTTCAACCCAGGCCCCAATTAATTCTCAAATAAAGGAGCATTCTGAATCCCATGCATATAGTAAAAATAAAATAAAAATCAAGACACAAAAACAAGAAAGCAAGGTCATATATGCATGGGAACCAGCAGAATCAATGGATAACAGAATCGGACCCCTAAAGACTTCAGATATCATAATTGTAAGAAAGAGAATATAAAACAGATTCGACCAGGTATGGTGGCTCATGCCTGTAATCCCAGTGCTTTGGGAGGGATCACGAGGTCAGAAGTTCAAGACCAGCCTAACCAAAATGGTGAAACCCCATCTCTAATAAAAATACAAAATTAGCTGGGCATGGTGGTGCATGCCTGTAATCCCAGCTACTCAGGAGGCTGAAGCAGGAAAATCCTATCACTTGAACCCAGAAAGTGGAGGTTGCAGTGAGCCAAGATTGCGCCACTGCACTCTAGCCTGGGCAACAGAGTGAGACTCTGTCTCAAAAATTAAATAAACAAAATTAAATTAAAATAAAAAACCCCAAAATTCTGGCTGGGCGAGGTGGCTCATACCTGTAATCCTAGAACTTTGGGAGGCCAAGGAGGGTGGATCATGAGTTCAGGAGATGGAGACCATCCTGGCTAACATGGGGAAACCCTGTCTCTACTAAAAATATAAAAAATTAGTTGGGCATGGTGGCACATGCCTGTAATCCGGCTACCTGGGAGGCTGAGGCAGGCAAATTGCTTGAACCCAGGAGGCAGAGGTTGCAATGAGCCAAGATTGTGCCACTGCACTCCAGCTAGGGCGACAGAGCAAGACTCCATCTCAAAAAAAAAAAAAAAAAAAAAAAAAAATTGAGACTGTTAAGAAATTAACTTTAAGATGCCTTGGATAAGGCCGGGCGCGGTGGCTCAAGCCTGTAATCCCAGCACTTTGGGAGGCCGAGGCGGGTGGATCACGAGGTCAAGAGATCGAGACCAACCTGGTCAACATGGTGAAACCCCGTCTCTACTAAAAATACAAAAAATTAGCTGGGCATGGTGGCGTGTGCCTGTAATCCTGGCTATTCAGGAGGCTGAGGCAGGAGAATTGCCTGAACCCAGGAGGCGGAGGTTGCGGTGAGCCGAGATCGCGCCATTGCACTCCAGCCTGGGTAACAAGAGCGAAACTCCGTCTCAAAAAAAAAAAGATGCCTTAGATAAGGAAACAACAAAGTGTGGCCCACCACCTGTTTTTATAAATAGTTGTACTGGTTGTAATTCCAGCACTTTGGGAGGCCGAGGTAGGTGGATCACCTGAGGTCAGGAGCTCGAGACCAGCCTGGGCAACATAGTGAAACCCCATCTCTACTAAAAATACAAAAGTAGCTGAGAGTGTTGGCACATGCCTGTAATCCCAGCTACTTGGGAAGCCAAGGGAGGAGAACTGCTGGAACCCAGGAGGTGAAGGTTGCAGTAAGCCAAGATTGCGCCATTGTACTCAGTGAGACTCTCTTTCAAAATAAATAAGTAAGTAAGTAAATAAATAAACAAATAAGGTTTTACCGGAACATAGTTATGCTCATTAATTCATATATTGTTTGTGACTATGCAAAGGCAAAGATGAGTTGCTGTGACAGAGTTTTTTATGGCTGATTCTGGACTGCAAAGCCTAAAACATTTTCTACATAGCCCTTTAAGAAAAAGCTTGCTGACCTTTGTCCTAGATCTTTCCTCTATTTCATACTGCTGGGTGTACATACGGCCACTGAGGGAGGCTCTGTCAAAAAGCTGGGGCCTTGGCAATTTGTACATAATCTATCAAACTCTTTGCTCTAGAGATTACCCCTCCATTACAATGAGCAGTGAGCCAAGATGCAACATTGCACTCCATCCAGCCTGGGTGACAGAGTGACTCTTTCTAAAAAAACAAAAAAGGCATAAAAAAAGGATCATTCGTAGAAAAGAAAGAGCCTCTTACATTATGCATAAGAGCAAAAGTGAACAATTCTACCCACAAAATGCCTAGATAACTTTGAGGATCTTTCCTGGAAAGGAAAGCTTGGAGAAAGGCACAAAGTGGGCTCATCTCTCACCCTAGTCCCTAATACAGTAGCCAGCTCCAATCAGTAGTCATGTGCTGCTGCTACAGCCATTCAGGGTGAGGAGTGTGTCAGCAAGAGGAAACTAGAAAAAGGTTTATAATTCTTTTATGTGCTGAAATACTTGTAGATGCATGGCTTCTTTCTTTGTTTCAGCTTGAGGTAGACATTTAACCCACTTTCTTCCTCAGTAGCTGGGGAGACTAGTCTGTTGTGAACTCTCAGGGGGCATTCTCCTAGTAGACTTGGAGGGGAGGTGCATCCAATACCTCCTATCTAGCATGGAGTGTGTGCCTTACTGGGACATGCTATAGACATGATCTTGTTAAATGTTCACAATGACCCTATGAGGTGAGTACTCCCATTCTTCAGAGAAGAAAACTGAGGCTCAGGAAATTTTTAAGTAACTTTCCTACAGCCTTCTGCATACCTACTAAGCATTAGAGCCAGAATTTAAACCAGGTTTGTCCACCTGACTATATTGCCCCTTTCATTATGCAAAACTGCTTGCTCTCTGAATCAATTCATGTTAGTTTGCATATAAACCCACAATACTTATGGCCCTCTAATCAATCATAAAATAAAAAGGCTAAGGAATTTCTCAGAATCTGTCTCTCTTTTTTGATATTTTTACAGGACTTTCTAAATTTCTCTCCATCCTCAGAGCACCCAGCATAGGACCTCATACCCAGCAGGTACTCAGCAAAGATGTGCTGACTGATTTATGGGTGCAGCTGGTGACTTACCTTCCTGGCTACCAGCTGGATGGCATCATCCTCAAAGGCCTTTAGATGTCTGAGCCGGGACCTTAGGATCTGCTGCAGCTGACTATATGTATAGGGCTGGAAGGACATCCTGGTAAGACCCTGGGAAGCCAAAACGACAGAGGAATAAGTTCGTTGATTGCCCATTGATTATCCGGGTGGAAAGTCACCAAACCCGATTACCAAGTCTCATATAACAATTTACACATTTCATACCTAGACAACCATGGCCTTCAACCACTCTTTACTGACAATGGCTAGTGGTGTCCTGTAGGGCAGTAGTTCTCAAACTATTTTTTCGTTTCTCTTAAGGACCTTTGATTCTATAAGAATCATTTGGAAGTAGATAAAAGCTGAGGTGCTTTAATTGAAGTGAGTGAGAGGATCTTCAGATCTCTGCTACGCATTGTCACCGCACCTGGCTTCACTTACCAGGCTCTTCATGATTTCTTGGTGTGCTTCCTGATGAACTGCAAGGCCCATGAGGACAGACATTGAGTTCACCTGGTTTATTGCGCTATTCCAAGCACCTAACGCTGCCTGGCAGGTTGTAAGTGCTAAAACATTTGTCAAATTAATTAAACCTCCAGGGCTGGGTGCAGTTTAAAAGTGCACAGGTAGCCGAACACTAAGATAGGATGTTTGCAGAAAATCATGCAATGGTGATACATTCCTCTTCAACCTAGAAACTACAAGCATTGCAGAAATCACATTTCTTAATTTCCCCATTTATTTTAGTTTTCATTTTTGCAGTACTTTTGTTTTTGAGACAGTCTTGCTCTCTTGCCCAGGCTGGTGTAGTGGTGCAATCTCAGCTCACTGCAACCTCTGCCTCCAGGGTTCAAGTGAGTATCCTGCCTCAGCTTCTTAAGCAACTGGGATTACGGGCATGCACCAGCACACCCGGCTATTTTTTGTATTTTTAGTAGACATGGGGTTTCACCATGTTGGCCAGGCTGGTCTTGAACTCCTGACCTCAAGTGATCCACCTACCTCAGCCTCCCAAAGTTCTGGGTTTACAAGCATGACCCACTCACTGCACCTGGCCCATTTTGGCAGAACCTCCTGGTCAAGCTTACAGATCTGTAAGAACAGCATGGGGCCGGGCGTGGTGGCTCACGCCTATAATCCCAGCACTTTGGGAGGCCGAGGCGGGTGGATCCCGAGGTCAAGAGATTGAGACCATCCTGGTCAACAAGGTGAAACCCTGTCTACTAAAAATACGAAAAATTAGCTGGGCATGGTGGCATGTGCCTGTAATCCCAGCTACTCAGGAGGTTGAGGCAGAAAAATTGCCTGAACCCAGGAGGCAGAGGTTGCGGTGAGCCGAGATCGCGCCATTGCACTCCAGCCTGGGTAACAAGAGTGAAACTCCGTCTCAAAAAAAAAAAAAAAAAAACAGCAGGGGAACTGCCCTAGAACTTACCAGTCGGCTGGACACCCGGTTCATCATGATTCGCTCTGGCAGGTCCATTGTGTTGGCAATGGCAAGGACCACAAGCCGGGCTTTCTTTTGAGTGGGCCAGTCAAAGAGATTGTACATTACGTCTTGTTTGTGAGTCCACAGAAGGTCAAGCTGCCAGGGAAAAGGAGAGAGGTGCACCGTCAATCACTGAGACTGAGCTGGGCTTCAGAATGAAGACCTATGTTTAGGTCTGCATGTTTCCCAGGTCACAGCACCACCGCAGCAAGGCAGTCCATTGACACATGCCTCTCAGCACCAGAACATGGACTCAGAGGAATGCAGAAGGGAGCTAGGACTTTCCTCCCCACTACCCAGTACTTGCTCCTGAAACATAAACACAGCCCCATTTCTTCTGTCCTCCCATGGGCACCTTACCTCATCCACAAGCAGGACGGTGGTGTCCTGAGGAGACCCTCGAGTGCAGAATCGCTTTGCCAGCAGTTCTGCCGCGTGGCTGGCTGTTGCTTTTTGGCCCGTCAGCTTCTGCATTAGGGGAAACACAATTGTGAGGAACTGTAAGGCTCTTACACCTCTGAGCGTAAAGTTAAATCTGTAAACAGAGGGAGGCATTTAGCCTGAGGACTTCAGAATCCTATATTCTGCCTCCCACTCTAGTCTCAACCTGAACTTGGAAGGACAAGAGAAGGCACCAAAAGAGAAGATAAAAAAAGTATATGATTTTGAAATGCAAATGAGTCATGGGCTGGACCAGAAGCCCCCTTAAAATCACGATTACATAATTCTATAACTGGATGTTACTTGCCCCAAAATAACAACCCATGAATAAAAGAGCAAGGCTCAACCTCTGGGCTGCCATGGACCCCTTTTCCATGTTTTCACACTGCTACCTGTGAGCTCAGTTTTCACCATGTGGATAAGGACTGGCTTCCTGGCTTGCAGTCATTATCCAGCTTATAGACTTTGAAGTCCTTGAGGGTAAGAATTCTGCCTTCCTTGCCCTTGCTACCTCTACAGAAAGGACAATGCCTGTCATATTATGAATATGCAATATACAGAAAATTAACTCTTTCCTTTTTCATGTGCCACTAAGAAACTGTATTTCCAAAAAGCCTAAACAGTTCTGCTTACCTGCAAGATTTGCACATAGACTTGGTGGGGCTCTGTCAGCTTCATGCCATTGACCTCAATGTAGTGAAAGGGAGGAACATCATTGGCTTGGGCTGCCTGCTGCAGGCAGCGTATCACCTCATGCACAGTAGCAGTCTTTCCTGTCCCAGGGACACCAGAGATGTACATGCACCTACAGCAGGAAGGGAAAACCCATGGGGTAGGTCTTAGCCAGCCACTGCACTCTAATCAGTGAGGAGTGTGGGAATTACACTGAGGGAAGGACTGAGGCCCTTAAAATGTGGAGGTGGAGGCAGTGAGTCAGAGTAGGTCAGCTGGTCAGAGTAGGACCTGCTTATATTGAATCATTCATTTCACAAGCAATGCTGCATGCAAACTGCCTACTCAAAGAAGGCCAGTTTCTTTCTTTTTGAAAGGCAACATTCCTGTTCCTATGGAATTACTTTGGCAAAAATACTTCAGAAGTTTTAGGCTTTAGCAATGATTTGATCTATTCTGCTGACACTGGAGAAAGCCTGTGTGGCTGAACTGTAACACCCAAGGCATTCTACTAGCAGGAGCCTTATTCTCCAAACTAACCTGCCTGTCTTACATGACTCACCCTCCGGTATTGTCAAGGAGTTTGCTTTCCACAAAGTTGTAGATATCTTGGAATTCCTGTTCCCGACAGGGAAGAGACTCAGGTACAGCAGAAACGTGCAGCCTACCATTGATGGTAAATGGGAGAAAAGGAATACTTTAGGAACATTCCCCAACCATTTACTCATTAGTCAATAGAAAATGATTACGGTTTCTTGTCTATGGTTTCTACATGAAAATTCAATCTCAAATGCCAGAGAATACATCCATTCTCAAATCCCTCCATTTCGCCTCAAAATCCTTGGCCTCTGTTTCTCTATCCAAATTACATGGGTGGACCTCATTCCACAGGAGATCCAGATTTATACATTTTGAAAAGTCTCCATATGGTTCTGAAGAGCACCATAACCAAGAGGCCCTGTCCTGACTAATCATATTCTATTCCTGCAGAAATGATGGTAGTTGATGGGAAGGTCAGTCCTCTCAGGGCCTGTCCACATTGGCTCACCTAGATGCTGCTTGAGAGGTTTCTTTTTTCTAAATATACACATTCACTTTACCTCGATAGGTAAAAGTATAGACACAGAGTGTATCTATCTATGTTTATTAGGTAGACCAGTGACTGTTCATCACTCTCATTTTACGTGAATGAAAGCAGATGCCCCATTGTTCATGCCTCTCTGAAAGGGGACCAAGAGCAGCAGTACCTCAGCCGGGCTTTCTCCAGCACGCTGGCTGGCTCCTGGGCAGCCAGGATTCGACTACGGATCTGAGGAGTGGCACAACATGGTGTTGTTCTAGGCTTGGGCTGTATTCAAAACAAAGAACATATTTCAGAAGGAAAAAGCAAAACACCATCTAGGACACACCAGCAAATGTGATTTGCGCTGATCTGATAAAAGGAAGAGAGGTGGTGAATTCCCCCTTAGTTCCTTCCTATATAAAGAACCATGACTCTCCCTCTCTCACCTCACATTGCATAAACTTTGTTCATCATCCAAACAGTTTCTTTTTTCTAATTTATATATAGTATCAGGATTTATAACAATGTCAGTCTGATGAAAGAATTAATAGAAGTTTGGATTAAATACTATTTAAAAGTAAAATATTATCTTGAAAGACAAGAAATGTTTAAGAAACCCTAACTACTCTGCCCGAATACAGAGTAGAAGAGGAGACATAAACTAGGTTTGATTCATTAGATCTTTCTCTGGGCTTATTTGAAGACATAGTCAAGTGTCAGCCCAGGACTTCCATGGCCCACAGTGCAGGACTTGGAGAAACCTTGGTAGATTTTTCCACTCCAAGGTCACTGTTTAGTCTAGTCTAACAGCCCTCTATCTCCTTCCTTGGTCATGGCTTTCTAGAGCAGGCTTGCTGCTGCTATACTCATCTTCATGTATTTCTACTCAGCATTCCCTTCTATGGGTCATTTTACTCTACCCACCCTTTGCCTTTAGCCTGGCTAGAGAGAGAACAATCTCCCCACTTCCTCCTGAGGCAGAAAGCACTTAAACTCTGTTTAAAAGGCTTTACAGGGTGGTGCAGTGACTCATGCCTGTAATCCCAGCACTTTGGGAAGCCGAGGTAGGAAGACTGCTTAAACTCAAGAGTTTAAGACCAGCCTGGGCAACACAGAGGTGAAAGCCCCCTCTAAATTAGCAAGGCATGATGGCACATGCCTGTAGTCCCAGCTACTCGGGAGGCTGAGGTAGAAGGATCACTTGAGTCCAGGAGATTGAGGCTGGAGTGAATTGAGATTGCACCACTGCACTCTAGCCTGGGCAACAGGCAGAGCAAGACCCTGTCTAAAAAAAAAAAAAGTCTTTACATTTATGCTGAAGGTAGCCAATGCCCTATATTCCTAATTTTGGGTGGGAGCCACAAGACACAATCAAACCAGAGGCCTGTTAGGAACCAGGACACACAGAAGGAGATAAGTGGCGGCAAATGGGCATTACCACCTAAGCTCTGCCTCTTGTCAGAGCAGCAGAGGCATTAGATTCTCATAGGAGTGCAAACCCTATTGTGAATTTTGCGTGCAGGGGATCTAGGCTGCATGCTCCTTATGAAAATCTAATGCCTGATGATCTGGGATAGAACAATTTCATCCTGAAACCATCCCCCCCCCCACCCCCTTGCTATCGGTAGAAAATTCATCTTCCATGAAAGGAATCTCTGGTGCCAAAAAGGCTGGGGACTGCTTATCTACTGGATTCCTTTCCTTAGAGATTTTTCTTTTTTCTTGAGACAGAGTCTTACTCTGTCGCCCAGGCTGGAGTGCTGTGGTGTGATCTCAGCTCACTGAAACCTCCGCCTCCCAGGTTCAAGTGATTCTACCACCTCAGCCTCCAGAATAGCTGGGATTACAGGCGCCTGCCACCATGTCCAGCTAAGTTTGTATTTTCAGCAGTGACAGGTTTTGCCATTGTTGGCCAGGCTGGTCTTGAACTCCTGACCTCAACTGATCTGCTCACCTTGGCTGTATTACAGGTGTTGGGATTGTACGTGTTGGTATTACAGGCGTGAACCACTGTACCCTGCAGTTTCTTTGATTTCAACCCAAACCCAATCACATCTTCATATGGAAGAGTGGACATCAGTTTTACAAAGTCTTCTAATTAAGATTTCTTAATATCATTCCAAAGAATAAGATGCACCATCAATTTAACCTTAATTCAAACATTTCTCAAGCCCACTTGAAGATGAGAAGACCCTGGTCTGAATATCTTTTCGGCATTCTGCTAAAGTTCCACAGGAAGCAGAAAAGATGTCTATTGATCTCCTTCCATCTTGCTGCAGAACAATTTGTTACCAATATGTAGGCAGCACTCAGTTTCTCAGGTGTATCAAGAGGGACAACAAAACTAACACTATGGCTCAGAGGCCAGACATACGATACGATACCCACTCTGCCAGTGCTCCATGGAAATGCAGAGAGGAGTGGGTCTTGTACTTCCGTTTGGGAGTTCGGTTCTTGGCCATCTGATTCTGTACCACAAAAGGAGCTTAACTCAAAAATCACTCTCTACTAGATTCGCTTTCAGTCCTAGTGTTCACTTAGGTCCTTTTCTCAATGAATATTCCACAAGGAATAGCTTTGAATATAACAGACCTGTCCTCAGATTACAGGTGTTACTAACCTGTGACCTCAGCATTTGTAATTTTTAAACTAAGAGAGGGATGCTTCAGTGGAAAATAAACCTAGAAGAACCTTACTCTTTTCTTTGGCATCTTCGTTGGGGTCTTTAAGGATGACTTCAAAGAAGATTGCAGGTTCCTGGACACAGTTCTGGGTGTTCTCCTTGGAAGGGGTGGTATGGAAGCCTCCTCGTCTTCACTGCTAGAGTCTGAAATCTCTGCTGCTGGTAGAATCTCTTTCTCTTCTTGGTCACTTTTACTATTACCTAAAAACCTGAATGGTGGGGATATATTTTCTGACACTCAGTCTAAATAAGAAGAACTCCATAATGTCAGTGTGGATTACATGTATTGTAGGGTCTCTCCTGTGACCAGGCAACATGAGTGCTTGCTACTGAGACAGTCTGTTATGACCATTTTTTATATTATCCCGTTAAACCCCTCAACAACTTTGTGACATGTATATTATTACATTTTGTAGATGAGGAGTTTCAGGCTTAGCAAGGTAGAGTTGCCTTCCCAAGGTTACACAGATAGTAAATGACAAAGCCCAGGTTCAAATCCAGGTCTGTCAGAATCCAGGTTCATGCTCTTAAGTACCCTACCCCACCACCAGTCTTGCTGGACACAATGATTAGGGATGGGAGCCACCTAAGCCCAGGAAGTATTTCTTGGCCCTTCCAACTAATACAATTATTTGAAACCTAACATAATCCCAGACATGCTAGGTAAAAGGTCAATGTCAATGGATTGCCAAAGATGCTTTAAGAGATAAGATTATAGAGATCAGAGATGGTAGCAATGTTTCTCTGCCTGCCAAGGAGTAGTCTTACCGGAGCTGCCGCCTAATCCGGTTCATAGTCAAGAGAGAACTCTTTCTGCGGACACGATGGGGAGTAGAGGTGGCTTCATTCTGAGTTTCTGCTTCTTTTGCATCCCTGCAAGAAATCATAGCTAGGTCACAAGAAGCGTTTTGGATACTAGAGATCTGTAGCAAGTACTAGAAGATAGTCAAGCGGCCTGATTGGCTCCTAGTCTTTTTATATCTACTTTGAAAAGAGCAAAACTTTCTTTTTGCTTAAAAGTTTATAATTGAAGCTTGACTCAAACCTCAAGTTCAAAGTCTGCCTTAAGCTAATTTAAATCAGATTCACACCTCCCCAACTAGAGACCAAAATATACTACTCCCAGGCCGAGGTGAATGTCTTTTTGTTTCTGATGCATGTATGAATTTACTGTTCACACAGGCTCAAGGTCAGCAGAAACTGCAGCTATATATTCAATATAAAGCATTTACTAAGCAACCTATTATGGACCAGGTGCTTAAGTTTCTAGGTTGCAAATAGTACAATTTGTAACTTCTGGCTTGTCACATATTTATTTGCACAGCAAAGTTTGTTCTAAATGCTTTATCTTTTTTCTACAGTATGTATTTGAGAATAGTCTCCAGTTAAAAAACAAGTCCTAGCCAGAGCAATAAGTCAAGAGAAAGAACTAAAGGATATCCCAATTAAAATAAAGTAAGTCAAACTGTTACTGTTCACCACTGATATGATCATATATCTAGAAAACCCTGAAGATGCTGGGTGTGGTGGCTCACACCTGTAATCCAGGCACTCTGGGAGGCCGAGGTGAGTGGATCACGAGGTCAGGAGATCAAAACTATCCTGGCTAACACAGTGAAACCTTGTCTCTACTAAAAAATACAAAAAATTAGCCAGGTGTGGTGACACATGCCCGGAGTCCCAACTTCTTGGGAGACTGAGGCAGGAGTATGCATGAACCCAGGAGGTGGAGGTTGTGGTGAGCAGAGATTGTGCCATTTCACTCCAGCCTGGGCAATAAGAACAAAATACCATCTCAAAAATACAAAAAAACAAAAAACACCCTAAAGACTCATTTAAAAATCTGATACATTGCTGAAATAAATCATACATGACACAAACAAATGGAAACACATCCCATGTTCATGGATGGGTAGAATCGATATTGTGTAAATGACCACACTGCCAAAGGCAATCTATAGATTTAATGTGATTCCCATCAAAATACCATCATCATTCTTCATAGAACTAGAAAAAACAATCCTAAAATTCACATGGAACAACAACAAAAAGCCTGCATAGACAAAGAAATACAAAGCAAAAAGAAAAATCTGGAGGCATCACATTACTTGACTTCCAACTATAACTTCAAGGATATAGTTACCAAAGCAGCACAGTACTGGTATAAAAACAGGCATGTAGACCAAAGGAACAGAATAGAGAACCCAGAAGTAAAGCCAAATACTTAGAGGTAACTGATCTTTGACAAAGCAAACAAAAACATAAAGTGGGAAAAGGCCACCATATTTAACAAATAGTGCTGGAACAACTGGCATACCACATGTAGAAGAATGAAACTAGGGCCAGGTGTGGTGGCTCACACCTGTAATCCCAGCACTTTGGGAGGCTGAGGTGGGTGGATCACCTGATTTCAGGAGTTTGAGACCAGCCTGGCCAACACTGTGAAACTCTATCTCCACTAAAAATACAAAAAATTAGCTGGGCATTGTGGCAGCGCCTGTAATCCAGCTACTCGGGAGGCTGAGGCAGGAGAATTGCTTTTATCTGGGAGGTGGAGGTTGCAGTGATCTGAGATTGCACCACTGCACCCCAGCCTGGACAACAAGAGCAAAACCCCGTCTCAAAAAAAAAAAAAAAAAAGAAAAGGGAGAATGAAACTGGACCCTCCTCTCATCTTATACAAAAATCAACTCAAGACAGATCAAAGACTTAAATCTAACACCTGAAACCATCAAAAATCTAGAACATTGGAAAAGTCTTCTAGACATTGTTAGGCAAAGAATTCATGACTTAGAACCCAAAAACAAATGCAACAAAAAAAACAGTAAATGGGACCTAATGATACTAAAATGCTTCTGCACAGCAAAAGAAATAATCAGCAGAGCATAAACAGATAACCCACAGAGTGGAAGAAAATATTTGCAAAGTATGCATCCAACAAAGGACTAATATCCAGATCTACAAGGAACTCAAATCAGCAAAAAAAAAAACAAAACAAAACACACATACACACACAAAACAAATAATCCCATCAAAAAGTGGGCAAAGAGCTGGGCACGGTGGCTTACGCCTATAATCCCAGCACCCTGGGAGGCTGAGGTGGGCGGATCACTTGAGATCAGGAGTTTAAGACTAGCCTGGCCAACATGGTGAAACCCTGTCTCTACTAAGATAACAAAAATTAGTCAGGCATGGTGGCAAGTGCCTGTAATCCCAGCTACTCAGGAGGTTGAGGCTGGAGAACTGCTTATACCTGGGAGGCAGAGGTTGCAGTGAGCCGAAACCACACCACTGCTCTCTAGCCTAGGCAACAGAGCAAGTCTCCATCTCACAAAAAAAGAAAAGAAAAAAAAAGGAAAAAAAGTGGGCAAAGGACATGAATTGACAATTCTCAAAAGAAGATATATAGTCAACAAACATATGAAAAAATACTCAACATCACTAATTATCAGGGAAATGCAAATTAAAACCATAATGAAATACCACCTTATTCCTGTTAGAATGGCCATAATTTAAAAAATCAAAACATAATAGATGTTGGTGTGGATATGGTGAAAAGGAAACACTTTTACACTGCTGGTAGGAATGTAAACTAGTACAACCACTATGGAAAACAGTGTGGAAATTCCTTAAAGAATTAAAAGTAGAATTACCATTTGATCCAGCAATCCCACTACTGGATATCTACCCAAAGGAAAAGAAGTCATTATATGAAAAAAGACATATGCATGTTTATAGCAGCACAATTCACAACTGCAAAAATATGGAACCAACCTAAATGTCCATCAATCAATCAGTGGATAAAGAAAATGTGGTATATAGGAGAGAGAGCCAAGATGGCTGTCTAGCAGCAGCTCAGGGTTGCAGCTCCCAGTAAAGGCACAGAGAGTGAGTGGACGCCAGACTTCCAGATGAATTTTTGTTGCCTATGGACCAGGAGATTCCCAATGGAGGAGCTCCACGGGTCACCAGCGCGACTCTCTTGGCCGGCGTGGCTGTTTTGCCGGTGTCCCAGCGTGGTGGTTCTCAGTGTGAAGTATGCAAGACTCGGTGCCCTTTTGGTTAGCATTTGGAGCTCCAAGAAGGCAGTCACCCATTCAGTTGATTGAGAGGGGGACTAAAGCCAGGAGCCAGACCAGGAGATTCCCGGGCAGAAAAGTGCCATGAATCTCAGCGCCGCTATTTCAGCAGGCGCAGTCGCCTCACGGGAAATTGCAAGCATGGCTGGTCCCTTACCCCACAAAAAAACAGCAATTAGAAATGCTAACAGTTGAGTTTCACAGCAAGCACAGCTGAACCCGGGAAGGTCCAGCTCTGTGGGGGAGGGGCGTCCACCGAAGGAAAACAAAGAAACAGAAATAACATCACCACCAACAAGCTGGATGTCCACTCAGAGACCCAATCTGAAAGTCAGCAATTACAAAGATGACAGGGGGATAAATTCACAAAGATGGGAAGAAACCAGTGCAAAAAGGCTGAAAACATCCAAAATCAGAATGTCTCTCCTCCTTCAGGGGATCGCAGCTCCTCATCAGTAAGGGAACAAGGCCTGATGGAGAATGAGTGTGATGAATTGTCAGAATCAGGCTTCAGAAGGTGGATAATAAGAAACTTCTGTGAGCTAAAAGAACAAGTTCTAACCCAATGCAAAGAAACTAAGAACCTTAAAAAAAGGTTTGATGAAATGCTAATGAGAATAGACAATTTAGAGAGGAATATAAGTGAATTAATGGAGTTGAAAAACACAACACAAGAACTTTGCAAAGTATGCACAAGTTTTACAGTCCAATTGATCAAGCAGAAGAAAGGATATCAGAGGTCGAAGACCAACCCAATGAAATAAAATGAGAAGATGAGATTAGAGAAAAAAGGATAAAAAGGAATGAGCAAAGTCTCCAAGAAATATGGGATTATGTGAAAAGAACTAATCTACGTTTGATAGGTGTATCTGAATGTGACAAAGAGAATGAATTCAAGCTGGAAAATATTCTTCAGGATATTATTCAGGAAAACTTTCCCAACCAGCAAGGCAGGACAATATTCAACTCCAGGTAATACAGAGAACACCACAAAGATATTCCTCAAGAAGAGCAACCCCAATGCACATAATCATCAGATTCATCAGGGTTGAAATGAAGGAGAAAATGCTAGGGGCGGCCAGAGAGAAAGATCAGGTTACCTACAAAGGGAAGCCTGTCAGACTCACAGCAGAAACCCTACAAGCCAGAAGAGAATGGGGGCCAATATTCAACATCCTCAAAGAAAAGAACTTTCAACCCAGAATTTCATATCCAGCCAAACTAAGCTTCATAAGAGAAGGAAAAATAAAATCTTTTGTGAATAAGCAAGTACTCAGAGATTTCATCAGCACCAGGCCTGCTTTACAAGACCTTCTGAAAGAAGCACTACACATAGAAAAGAATAACCAGTATCAGCCTTTCCAAAAATATACCAAAGGTAAAGAGCATCAACATAATGAAGAATTTATACCAACTAATGGGCAAAACAGCCAGCTAGCATCAAATGGCAGTATTAAACTCACATATATTATTATTAATCCTAAATTTAAATCAACTAAATCCCCCAATCAAAAGACATAGACAGGCAAATTGGATAAAAAGTCAAAACCCATCGGTAAGCTGCATCCAGACCCATCTCACATGCAAGGATACACAAAGATTCAAAACAAAGAGATGGAGGAAGATTTACCAACCAAATGGAGACCAAAAATAAATAAACAAATAAAAAGCAGGAGTTGCAATCCTCACCTCTGATAAAATAGACTTTAAAGCAACAAAGATTAAAAGAGGCAAAGGAGGACATTACATAATGGTAAAAGGATCGATGCAACAAGAAGAGCTAACAATCCTAAATATGTATGCACCCAATACAGGAGCACCCAGATACATAAGACAAGTTCTTAATGATTTATAAAGAGACTTAGACTCCCATTAATAGTGGGAGATTTTAACAACACATTGTCAGTATTAGACAGATCAATGAGACAGGAAATTAACAAGGATATCCAGGACTTGAACTCAGACCCAGAACAAGTAAACTTAATAAACATTTATAGAACTCTCCACCACAAATACACAAAACATATGTTCTTATCAGTACCACATCACACCTATTCTAACAGTGACTACATAACTGGAAGTAAATCACTCCTCAGTAATTGCACAGCATTTCACGGGTTTAAATAAAATATTGGTTGGCTGCTTGTTTGTTATTTTCTTCCCTTATTCCTTCCTGTCTCCATTGTTAAGCACAATTATTGGCATAAAAGGGGTTTTCAATACCCATTTTTAGACTGCATTCCAGCCTGGGCAATAAAGCAAGACTCCCATTCTCTTCTTCTTTCTCTTCCTCTTTCTTTCTCTCATTCTTTTTTTTCTCTTTTTCTTTTTTTCTCTCTTTTTTTCCAAAAGAAAATGTGGTATATACACACCATGGAATACTACTCAGCCATAAAATGCAATGAAATAATGGCATTTCCAGCAACTTGGATGGAATTGGAGACTGTTATTCTAAGTGAGTAATTCAGAAATGGAAAACCAAATATCCTATGTTTTCACTTATAGGTGGGAGCTAAGCTATGAGGAATCAAAAGCATAAGAGTGATACAATGAACTTTGAGAACTCAGGGGGAAGGATGGGAGGTGGTGAGGGATAAAAGACTACACATTGGGTACAGTGTATACTTCTCAGGTAATGGGTACACCAAAACCTCAGTAATCATCCCTTAAGAACTTATCCATGTAACCCACCTGTTTTTCCAAAACTATTGAAATAAAATTAAACAACAAAAAACTGCTTTAAAAAAATGACTGTTAAAATGTGGCAAAAAGCCACTGGAACTACTGAAATCCAAAACTGGATAGCAATTCAGGTTTGGGAAGTTCTCTTCTATAGCAGTGATTCCCAAATAACAACTTGGTATACTGGAATCATCCGAAGAGCATTTCCAAACACAGATTCCTAGGACCAGTGCTTGGAATCTGACTCAATAGGTGTGGGAAGAGGCCTAGAAATCTGTATTTTGGGAAAGCTCCCCGATAAGTCTGTGACATAGGTTTTTCAACTACTGCTCTAACTTTTTTGACTACGATCCACACACTTCACATTATTTGAAGTATTCCAATTTGCTCTGTGAGTAATGTCCCTGGTCACCTCTTTTCGATGTTTTCTGGTTTCAGAATCACGGATGGCACCACTGAAGATCTCCGTCCCCCCCTGATAGGGGTAAGTGTTCTCTCATCTCTAATGTCTATGGTTTTCAAAGGTGGAATTCGAGTTCTCAGGATCATGCAACGTTCAGGCGAAGCCTTCTTGTCATCCTCAGTATAAGAGAGTCCATTCTCTCTGGTTGTCTCTGGGGCTTTCGGAGCCTGAGACAAGGTCTGAAGTTTATCAGGCTGAGATCTCTTAGAAGGTGAGGTGATCTCTGAGAAGGCCACTTTCCGTTTTGTTCTTCCTGGAGAATCCAAAGTGGCACATGAAGCCTGCTGGGACATCCAAGAGTTACCTAAGCCCAAGAGAAATCACGACATACAATGTGTAAATTTTTTACCTAACAATATACAAACCCCCAATCTCATTATAGCTAAATCCAGCGAATGAGTTATACATAAGATATGAGTTATGCATATTTTTAATCATTCTAGGCTTTCTTTCTCCAGCCCAGGTAGCTCTAATAATTTTCCATCTCTCACCTAAATTTTAGGAGTGATTTTTCTAGTTAGAACCATAAGTCAACTTTTTCTTTTTTTTGAGACAGAATTTTGATCCTGTTGCCCAGTCTGGAGTACAATGGCGCAATCTCAGCTCATCACAATCTCCGCCTCCTGGGCTCAAGTGATTCTCCTGCCTCAGCCTCCCCAGCAGCTGGGATTACAGGCATTTGCCACTACACCTAGCTAATTTTGTATTTTCAGTAGACAGGATTTCTCCATGTTGGTCAGGTTGGTCTTGAACTCCCAACCTCAGGTGATCTGCCCACTTCAGCCTCCCAAAGAGCTAGGATTACAGGTGTGAGCCACCATGCCTGGCTCTGTAAGTCAACTTTTTTAAAGTCAACTTTTGTAGATAAATGGAGTAAGTGTTCTCTCGTCTCTAACAGGTTTCCCTGAAATAACCTATTGGAACAGTGGTTCTCAATCAGGGGTGACATCGCACACCTGCAACCCTAACTCAATGACATGTGAAGAAATTTATACTAGAAATGCTATCAAGTAAGAATGAGGCCTAGATTTTTTCTTAACCCAGATTATATTCTGCCAATGGAGAGAAGAGGGGTTCCTGGGGGCAATCCACTGGGTTCTGTGAATACAAAAACCATGTGGAATTGCTCCTCCCTCATGAGGACCACAGCACCAAGGAACCCAGCTGTTCATTCACAGATACCAACTCAGCAGTTAAAATGGCAGGCGTGTGTCAGGGGGAAGGGGAAACAAAACCTGAATGAGGCTCAACCCTGGTTCCAATGCATAAAACACTCTAGTCTAACGGATGATATACATGACTGCTTATCTTATTACATAAAGGGAAATAAGTGTCTGGAAGTACCTGAGTGCTCATAAAGATGGCTTTTGAGATATATCTCAAAAAAAGGTAAAATTTCAACAGAGTTGAAAGGGGAAGGAGAGGGGACATATGAGGACATAAAGGAATGGCATGATCTCAGCTCCCTGCAACCTCCGCCTCCAAGGTTCAAGTGATTCTCTTGCCTCAGCCTCCTGAGTAGCTGGGATTACAGGCGTGTACCACACGCCCAGCTAATTTTTTGCATCTTTAGTAGAGACAGGATTTCACCATGTTGGCCAGGCTAGTCTTGAAAGCCTAACCTTGGGTGATCCACCTGCCTTGGCCTCCAGAAGTACTGGTATTATAAGCGTGAACCACTGCGCCTAGCTTATCCCTTCATTTCTGAAGGTGATATTACATATGAGTTAATATTTTTGCTGCATTTTCTAAATGTTTTAGACATTTATATTCAGCTCCTAAAACAACAGTGTACTAAAGAGCTATCAAGAATACAAGTAACTTATACTTGAAGATCTTGGCACCTACACAAAAAATTCAAAAAGGATGAATGACATATAAAAAGATGAGGATGAGCTCTCAGAATGGCTGTGGAGTGAGTTTCGGATACACTGTAAGGGGAAAAAGCAAGTTGGAAAAGAATATATTCAGTATGCTATCCTACTGGGTAAGAAAGAATGAAAAATAAAAATATATGCATATCTGTATATAGGTATACATATATGTATACATATCTGCTGATTTTTCCAAAACCAAAAATAGGAAAGATAAACCAGAAAGGAAAACAATTAATTAACATACAGAGGCTGGGTGCAGTGGCTCATGCCTGTAATCCCAGCACTCTGGGAGGCCAAGGCGGGTGGATTACGAGGTCAGGAGTTTGAGACCAGCTTGGGCAACATGGCGAGACCCTCTTGTTATGAAAAATTAAAACAAAATTAGCCAGGCATAGTGGTGCGCACTTGTAGTCCCAGCTACTTGGGAGACTGAGGCAGGAGGATCACTTGAGCCTAGGAGGTGAAGGCTACATACAGTTAGCCGTGATTGTGCCATTGCAGTCCAACAGTAACACCACAAGCTTCTGTCTCAAAAAACAAAAACAATAAAACCCAGAAAATAGAGCCAAATGCAGTGGTGTGCCCCTGTAGTACCAGCTACTGGGGAGACTGAGGCAGGAGGATCACATGAGCTTGATCACTAGAGTTAGAGGGTATAGTGGACTATGATCACTAATTCAATACAGTCCCACAAATTAACATTTTATCACATAATCCTTTAGCCCTAGTATTGCCCACTGTGATCCATTCCACAACTTACCGGCAAGCTCCAGCCTCTTCCTCGCTCTTGGGGTGACAGGATGGGTAGGAGTTTGGCGAGATTTAGAGGCGGAGTGCCTTGATTCAATCCTTTTGGCCACATATTCTGCTGGGGTCCAAGCAGGGCTTTCTGCACTCTTATTCTTGGCTCCCACGGGCTTCTGGCACTTGGCTGCACCCTCTTGTGGTTTATTCAACTCTGCAAATAGTTCTGGGGACAGTGGCCTGAACTTCTTTTCATTCCAGGATAGTTTCACAAAGAGTGTCTTCTCATTTTTCAGATCCGTCGGTACCACATCGTTTGGGGGTAAAAGTATCACCTGAATTTAGGAAGTACAGGTGAGTAGGAAGAGATGAGCCCCAAAAGAGCCAAGGAGTATTCCACCAGAGCTACAATCAAAAACAAATGAGTCCACATCTGCACCTGAAATGTTACCTTTCCAATCTAAAGCGGCATAGACATGGCATAGCATATTGCTAGAAAAGCACATAAGAATAATGAATATTTGCTGAGTATTTACTCATTTAATCATTAATGGGTTTAAAAACAGCAATGAAATATATAAATTATTCCTTTTGTTTCACTTTTAAAACGTTTATTGGCTTCACTTCTTAAAGCCTATTACTGCTACCCAAGTTCAAATATGCATCATCTCACTCCTGGGTTATTTTTACAAATTCCTCCTAGCTGGTATCTTATGCCCTACATTGCTTTCTTTTCCAGTCCATTCTGTTCACCTATGCCAAGTTTCCCCACAAACTCATCTAGACATGCTTCCCTGCTCAACAGTCAATAATGGCTCCCACTGTAGCAAGACCAAATTACTTAAACTAGTTTTTCAATGCCTTCTAAAATCTGGCCTCATTTTACTACAGAGTGCTCAATACTCCTGCCTCGCACTCCTTCAGCTTTCTCTCCTTCACTCATTTAGCTCAGAGATAAATTATGATAATCATGCCAGACGAGAGTCTCAGCCCTACTGCTCAATGAACCACATAACCAGCATACAACCACACCTCATACCACAATCTAATCCCATGTTGGGAAGCCTGAAGTCACTTCAGGAAAAACTCAGTCTCCTAACCAGTGACCTACTTCAGCCTACAAACCAGCCTCTCATTAGCACCTGATTTATTACAAAATCCTGTCACACAAATTTGTCTGTAGCAACTAGCACTCTTTGTACTGATTTACTCATGGTCAAGTCCTTGTTTAAGCCAGCATGTTCAGCCTCACAATGCTTTATGCATGCCACAGTCACAGCTAAATATAATATCCCCTTGAGATACATCTTCTAATTCCTGCTCATCCCTTGGTCACAACCCAAATGTCACTTCCTGCAGGAGGCTCCTAACACATAATATGTGCTCTCAATAAACATTTGTTGAGATGAAGCAGACAGGCAAGCACAGAAGACGACAGGAAATAATGCATTCCCATGGGGTAAATTAAAGCCAGTAATATTTCTGGGGTCATGCAGTTCAGGAGGCAGAAATAAATAAGCTTCAAGGTAGAACCAAGGATTGTGGCATCACCTACCCGAACAGGGCCAATGATGGTCTCAGCATTAATGCTGCTGTTGCAGGCAGGGTAATCATACCAGAATATTTCCTGTGCAGCAGGCTTCCGGCCCAACAAATGCTGTTTACGGACAGGGATTTCACAGAATCGGACAAACCACTGTACCTGAGCACATTTCTTAGGAGGATCAGAATCTAGGAGGAATTTGGTGGAAAGGGAAAGGTTAAGACAACTCAAGGACATTTTACTGAGCAATTCCTATGTGCCAGACACTGTACTTAGTGCTTGACATGTGTGTTTTTTTTGTCTTGTTTTTTTTTTGAGAGAGTCTCCGTCACCCAGGCTTGCGTGCAGTGGCCAGATCTTGGCTCACTGAAACCTGCCTCCTGGGTTCAAGCGATTCTCCTGCCTCAGTCTCCTGAGTAGCTGGGATTATACGCATCTGCCACCATACCCAGCTAATTTTTGTACTTTTAGTAGAGACAGGGTTTCCCCATATTGGCCAGGCTGGTCTTGAACTCCTGACCTCACATGAGCTGCCTACCTTGGCCTCCCCAAAGTGCTGGAATTACAGGCATGAGCCACCACATCTGGCCAACATGTGTTATCTTTTTTTTTTTTTGAGACGAAGTCTTGTTCTGTCCCCCAGGCTGGAGTGCAGTGGCATGATCTAGGCTCACTACAACCTTTGCCTCACTGGTTCAGGAGATTCTCCTTACTCAACCTCCCAAGTAGCTGGGACCACAGGCCTGTGCCACCACGCCTTGCTAATTTTTATATTTTTAGTAAATGGGGTTTCACCATATTGGCCAGGCTCGTCTTGAACTCTTGACCTCAAGTGATCCTCCTGCCTTGGCCTCTCGAAGTGCTGGGATTACAGACATGAGCCACTGTGCCTGGCCCAACATGCGTTATACAACGTAGATACTGCAGCTATCCCCCTTTTCAGGCAATAAAATCAAGTGATGGGGAACATAAAGAATTTGTCAAGGGTCATATGACCAACTGCAGCAATCAAATTCCAGCCCACATACCTGCTCTTTTGGGGTTGCTCCATTTTCTAATGGTGCTATCACCCAGCAAAGGAATGACAAAAATGCCTCTGAGAGGAGGTGCTCTAAACACAGGCACTGAACAAAATAAAAATCATAGCAAGAATTACAGCATCAGGCCATGCATGGTGGCTCACGTCTGTAATCCTAGCACTTTGGGAGGCTGAAGCGGGCAGATCACTTGAGGCCAGGAATTTGAGATCAGCCTCGCCAACATGGTAAGACGCCGTGTCTACTAAAAATAAAAAAAAACAGCCAGGCGTCGTGGCAGGTGCCTGTCATCCAAGCTACTCGGGAGGCTGAGGCAGGAGAATTGCTTGAACCCAGGAGGTGAAGGTTGCATGAGCCAAGAGTGCACCACTGCACTTCAGCCTATGCACCAGAGTGTGATTCTGTCTCCAAAAAAAAAAAAAAAGAATTACAGCATCAACCACTGAGATGACTTTTGGCAAATGCATGTTTGTAATCTTCAGCTTTATCATTGCAGTATAAAATTAGTGTCACTCCATACCAGCATTAGCTCCAACCAAAAGGACACTCATTAGTGCCATCATCATCATTATTATCTCTTTTTAGCTTTCTTCAGAGAAAAACTAAAGCTATCCAATGGAGCACCAAGAGAGCATTCTAGAATCCATACACCAAAGCCCATAATTCTGATGTGCTGCCCCTACTAGACATTAGTTTGATGAGGTTTTCCCCCATACCTCAAAGTATGTTAAAGAAAAAGTATGTCAAAGATCCTCCTTATCTGTGTGCAGTAGTCTCCCCTTATCTGCTGAGGGTATGTATCAAGACCAGTAGATGCCTGAACCTGCAGATACTACCACTAACTCTGTATATGCTATGCTTTTTCCTACACATATATACTATACAGCATGGATACACCGGACAAAGGGATGACTCACATCCAGTTGGGACAGCATGAGATTTCACCACATTACTTGGAATGGCACAAAATTTAAAGCTTATGACTTGTTTATTTCTGGAATCTTCCATTTAATAGTTTTGGATTGTGGTGAAACCACAGATTAGGGGGACTATAGTCATGTAAAACATCTTTATCCACTCAGTCTATCAGTTCCTTCTCTTGGGCATACAGACTACCACAGGAATACCTAATCACCCAGCCATTCTTCTGTCTCTTGAACGAGGCACTTTTGCATAGTTTCAAATTGCTGTCCTCCTTGTGAAGCTCTGCCCTGCTCCCATATTTCTGTGTTCTCCTCTTGTTTTGCAGAGCATTACAAGCTCAACAAATCAGCTAAGGCTTTGGATGTGAGCTTGTAGGCTCTGGTTGATGCCACCTTCCCTTTTGCTCCTCCAGCCTAGGGGCAGTAGTGGCTTCCTGCACTTACTCATCTCTGGTAAATGTCATCTTTTCTTCCAGCCTTTCCAACACTAACACACAAGTTCCTCTAGGTAAAACACCTTAAGTATTTTTGTTTTCCCTAACTGAAACACCAACTGCTATACTTTCCAAATCCAACTTACCTATTCATTTGTAACGAAGTAGCACTTGCAAAATTGATTACTAACCCTCATGCCAAAATTTTTTCCTTTTCCCTTACTCCTAAATTCATTCATTCTCTCCAGCTCCCCAATGCTGCTTTAATAGCCATACTTACTCCCCAAAATAATGAAAAAGCTAAATTATTGAGCCTTCCAATCCCATTTTACTCAATATTGCTTTGGTGATTAAAGAAGTTTTTCTAGGGCTGGGCGCGGTGGCTCACACCTGTAATCCCAGCACTTTGGGAGGCCGAGGCGGGTGGATCACGAGTTCAAGAAATCGAGACCATCCTGGTCAACATGGTGAAACCCCGTCTGTACTAAAAATACAAAAAATTAGCTGGGCACGGTGGCGCATGCCTGTAATCCCAGCTACTGAGGAGGCTGAGGCAGGAGAATTGCCTGAACCCAGGAGGCAGAGGTTGCGGTGAGCCGAGATCGCGCCATTGCACTCCAGCCTGGGTAACAAGAGTGAAACTCCGTCTCAAAAAACAAACAAAAAAAGAAGTTTTCTAGATGGAAGAAGGTGCAGCTAGTTCTTATATGATTCCCACCTCAGTCTAATGTGCCCTGCAAGCTCCTGTGAACAAAAGAACCCACAATCTCCCCAATTCCCAATCATTCATGACAAGGAAAGGTTAATTATTTCATCTCAAACTCACCATCTTCGAACAACTCAAGCAATTTAGCAACAAATGGGTTTTCATCATCATCCCCTTTAATCAACACAAACTGTCCAACCTGGATGTTAATCTCGGTAGAACAATCTTCTGTTTTCACACACATTTCTCTAGGAAGTAACAGAGCAGCACATTAGGAAATAACTTAAAGTAGGTCAAGCTCTTCAGCCCCCTAGGCACAAAGGAGAGGGCTCTCTGATCCCCTGATTTCTTTCTGCTGACCAACTCTCTTATTGGGAAACCAATTCACCCAGTTATACGTAAGAATAACCAAAATGGGTTGAATGAATTGTTTTAGCTGAGTAATGAATCCAAATATCTTATTATGAACCCTAATTTCTCTCAGTTATTGACGAGAACAACAAATGCTTCCCAAGGCTGCCAAGCTGCCCAATAACAATGTCAAATTGTCAGAGATCTCCAGAGTTGGGAAAGACAAAGTAACAACATCTATCTGGTTATCATGAAGAGTTATATAGAACTCACCTTAAATAGACATGACACTATCCTACATATAAAATTTTATGAACCTGTCATAATTTTTTGCCCCATCACTGCTATATCTATCCCACTATCTTCTTGCATCAGACAAAACCCCTCCTTACAATCAGTTCTAACCTCCTATTCATTCACTGTCAATCCATAGTAATTAGAACAGGCTAGTTACAAGCTGACTGTTTAGCTTGAGAAGCTCCATTTCCAGGACAACCAAAGGACCTCATCACTCACCTATATGTTTGGTAGTGCAGTTTTCGATCCAACAATGGCCTGCCAACCCATGAATAAGTTTTTCTGGTCTTTAGCCTTGTGGGGTAGTGTGCCATGGCTCCTGTAGAAGAGTCCTAACTCTGAATTACCATGATAAATATTTGATATTTATCTGATGGATTCTAAGACATACAAAGTCAGTCCCTACCTTTAAATGAGTTCAGACTTATTTTCTGCCCCTGCTACACTCCCATACATTTTAGACTAAGAAAACATTTTATTTGAAGTCATGGTCTATGAAGATTACACATAGGCAATTTAGCATCATCTGGGTACATCTTGTACTACGCCTTATCTCTTCCCACCCAGGAAAACAGAAAGGTCAATTCCTAAGAAATGAAACTATAACATTTAGAAATACTTAGAATAAAGCACAACAATAGGTGTAAAACATCTAACAAAGTGAAATTAAGAGTGATACAGGGGTTGCAAGTGTCTTCATGACACTTATAAAATGCACACAGGGATAAATCAGAAATACAAAGGCTGGGCGCAGTGGCTCACCTGAGGCCAGGAGTTCAAGACCAGCCTGGGCAACATGGTGAACCCACATTTCTACTAAAAATACAAAAATTAGGTGGGTGAGTTGGCAGGCACCTGTAATCCCAGCTACTCAGGAGGCCGAGGCAGGAAAATTGCTTGAACCCAGGAGGCAGAGGTTGCAGCGAGCTGAGATTGTGCCACTGCACTCCAGCCTAGGCAACAAGAGCAAAACTCTACCTCAGCGGCAGAGGGTGGGGTGGGGTGGGGTGGGGAAGAAATGCAAAAAAATTAAAAGTAAAATATAAATGCAGTAAAGGACAATGAATATTGCAAAAAGCGTAGTGAAACTACTGGAAGTTAGAATATTAGGTTTTCTGGCTGTTCAGGGAGGATGGGCTCCCATAGGAGTTTCCTGAGCGGAATGTTGAATAATTAGTAGACATTGATAAGACAGAATGAATTCCAATAAATGTAAGGAGGCAAAGACATGCAAGTAGAATTTGTGGAAATGGCAATGGGTTTTATCAAGTGTATTACTGCACTTACATTAAAAAAAAAATTACCAGTGTTACTAACCTGTACTGCCTTGGCAGTTGGAAGGGGTATTTTTTTCTTTGCAGCTGACAGGTACTAGATATAAAGAATAGCTGAAAAGAAATGCTTGTATTAAAATATGTAGAAAAAAAGACACTTTTATTGATGAAAACAAAAATGTAAAGTCCAAACAATCCTCTTTGATAGAATTATTCAGAATTACTAAAACAATAGAATGAGAATAACATATCAACATCCAAATTAAACAAGCTCATTTTCTAAAGTTCAGTGGCATTATGTCCTACATTCTATTTGGGAACATTTTGACCCATTACATTTTTGGCTTTTAATAAAGGTATTTTTAAAGTAAACTTTGAGAAAATTAATAGCAAAAAGAGAAGATATTGAACTTTAGAAAATAAACTGCTTAGAAAAGATGCATGAATGATTGCTATCAAGTACATTTAGAGTGCAATTTACAGCATATTACTGTTGTGAAAGGAAAATAAATCTTGGGACCCCAAAATCAATAAGCCAAAAGGAAAAGTCAAGCTGTAACTGCGACGCTTTCCATTTTATTCCCAAATAAGATAGCTACAAAGATTTCAAAGAAAAAGAAAAACAACAACTACATACCTCCCTCACAATTTGCCCACAAATTCAAGATCTTTACAACAGTTCTATTAAATTTCATCCTGGCAATGTAAATGGATAACTTATCTTCACAGGTGTGGGAGAAAGGAGAGAGAACAGAGGACAGACAAAATTCAAAGTCATCCCTCAGCTTACCTGAGACAAATACATAGCCAATTGCTTCCTCTGCCCTATTGTTTATGTAAAAATGCAGATTCACTGAGTTGGACTAAAGCAAGCTTGTCCAACCTACAGCCCAGGACAGCTTTGAACGTGTCCCAACACAAATTCGTCAACTTTCTTAAAACACTATGAGACTTTTTTTTTTAAAGCTCATCAGTTATCATTATTGTCCGTGTATTTTTTTTTTTTTTTTTTTTTTGAGACAAAGTTTTGCTCTTGTCGCCCATGCCGGAGTGCAGTGGCATGATCATGGCTCACTGCAACCTCCGCCACCTGGGTTCAAGCGATTCTCCTGCCTCAGTCACCCAAGAATCTGGGATTACAGGTGCCTGCCACCATGCCCAGCTAATTTTGGTATTTTTGGTAGAGATGGGGTTTCACCATGTTGGACAGGCTGCTCTTGAACTCTTGACCTCAGGTGATCCACCTGCCTTGGCCTCTCAATGTACTGGGATTACAGGCGTGAGCCACTGTGTCCCACCTAGTGTCAGTGTATTTTATGGAAGAAGAAAATTCTTCTTCCAGTGTGGCTCAGGGAAGCCAAAAGATGAGATACCTTTGGACAAAGGCATAAGTGACTACTCTTCTACCTTGCTCTCACGTGTAAATTGTGTATTCGGTGAAAGGCTGATCAAAGATCCAAAGAAATGCAACCTTTTGTCTCTTATCTACCTGTGACCTGGAAGCCCCACTTCGAGTTGGACAGAACCAATATACAACCTTCTGGACAGAACCAACGTACAACTTACACATATGGATTGATGTGTCATGTCTCTCTAAAAATTTATAAAACCAAGCTGTGCCTTGACCACCTGAGGCATGTGTCATTAGCACTTCCTGAGGCTGTGTCATGGGCACATCCTTACCCTTTGCAAAATAAAACTTTTTACATTGATTGAGGCCAGGCCCGGTGGCTCATGCCTATATTCCCAGCGCTTCAGGAGTTTGAGGCAAGCTGATCCCTTGAGCCCAGGAGTTCAAACCAGCCTGGGCAACATGGAAAAACCCTGTCTCTACAAAAAAATACAAAACTTACTCAGACCTAGTAGCACACTGGGAGGACTGTTTGAGCCCAGGAGGTGAAGGTTGCAGTGAGCCAAGATGACACTATTGCACTCCAGCCTGGGTGACAGAGTGAGACACTGTCTTAAAAAATAAACAGAAAACTGTCTCAGATACTTTTGGCTTCACACTATTAAAATCAATCTAATTTTATTCTATTATTATTTTTTTGAGACAGTTTTGCTCTTACCACTCAGGCTAGAGTGCAATGGCACAATCTTGGCTCACCGCAACCTTCACCTCCCGGGTTCAAGCAATTCTCCTGCCTCGGCTTCCTGAGTAGCTGGAATTATAGGTACCTGCCACCACACCCAGCTAATTTTTTGTAATTTTAGTAGAGATGGGGTTTCACCGTGTTGGCCAGGCTGGTCTTGAATGCCTGACTTCTGGAGATCACCTACCTTGGCCTCCCAAAGTGCTGGGATTACATGTGTGGGCCACCAAACACAGCCTCAATCTAATTTTAATTAAGTACAGTGTATAAATGAACAAATAGCAAAGATTAATGAATAAAAGCAAGTAGAAGACTTGTGCTCAAGTAAAAACTAAATGTGGATTCATAAGATCCAAATATCTTTCAGTAAAAATCAGAAAAAGTGTTTTAATCTAAATGTTTGGGTTGGCATGGTGGTTCATACCTGTAGTCCCAACATTTTGAGAGGCCGAAGCAGGAGGATCGCTTGAGGTCAAGAGTTTGAGACCAGCTGGGCAACAGTATTTTTCCCCATCTCTATGGGGGGGAAAAAAAAAGCCTGGTGTGGTGGTGTGCAACTGTAGTCCCAGCTACTGGGGAGGATCCCATGTGTCCAGGAGTTTGAGGCTGCAGTGAAGCTTGATTATGCCACTGTACTCCAGCCTGGGCTAAAGAGTGAGACATTGCCTCAAAAAAATATGGTCTGGATTTAAAGGAATTGAGGACAATTTTGTCTTTGTTTTTGAGACAGGGCTCTTTTGCCCAGGTTGGAGTGCAGTGGCACAATCATGGCTCACCACAGCCTCAAACTCTTTGGCTCAAGCAATTCTTCCATCTCAGCCTCTTCAGTAGCTGGAACTACAGGCACACACCACCATGTATGGCTAAATTTTTGTATTTTTTTTGTAGAGAAGGGATTTCGCTACAAAATCCTGGAGTTTGGCCAGCCTGGTCTCAAACTCTGAAGTTCAAATGATCCACCAACCTCAGCCTCCCAAACGACTGGGGTTACAGGTGTGAGCCTCCATGTCCAGTGAAGCAAATTTTTAAATAATAAATAAACAAAATGTTCAAGGAAATACATACACTAACATACCTTCAATAAATGTTCCTTTTAATGGGCAATGTGGAATGGAACTGTCAGAGGTAAACTTGGAAGTTTTTGCCTTTTCCACAATCAGGCAGTATACGCTATTGAGATACAGACAAAAAAGTAAATCACAGTACCCACTAAGTGGGTACCCACAGTACACATTTAAAAAAAAAATGGGGACACATCACTAAGAATACTTTGCAGCAAACTGGTATCTCCCAGCAAACTTTCTACAATTCTTGAATAATCTACCTGTAGGATAAATGGCCTTGTCTTGTTTTTTTTGGGGGGATGGAGTCTCACTCTGTGCCCAGACTGGAGTGCAACAGCACGATCTTGGCTAACTACAACCTCCACCTCCCAGGTTCAAGTGATGTCCTACCTCAGCCTTCCAAGTAGCTGGGATTATAGGTGCCTGCCACCATGCCCAACCACTTTTTGTATTTTTAGTGGAGATGGGGTTTCACCAGGTTGGCCAATCTGGTCTTGAACTCCTGACCTCATGTGATCCACACTCCTTTGAGGGAATCTCTGGGGATCGTGCCTGTGTGAGGCCCCTGGGAAATGGGCCTCACCATACGGTGAGCTTGAGCCCGGACACAGATCCCCAGTTGGGGGAGTCGAGCTGAGGGAAAGCAGGAACCGAGAGAGGAACTATATGTTATTCAAAATAATTAACAGACATTACTTTATGGATATGAGGACTTGGAAGGCATTGTGTCCACTTTCGGCTTCTTATGGTTTATTGCTTGTGTTCATTTTGGACCCTTATTACCTTCATTGTAAAATATTAACTTAAGTATTTACACTTGTAACTTACTTACCGTAACTTACTGGGTGTAACTGTAACTTACTTACCACAGCTTACAGGGCGTGACTGTAACTTGCTTACCTTGACCTATTGGGCATAACCTACTTACTGGGCGTAACCTACTTACTGGGCGTAACTTAGCCGGCGTAACTTGCTTACTGTAACTTAATTACGTTGACCTGGTGTAAACAACTTTGACTTCAGAAAAGTATATAATGAAACGTATTGCAAAAATAAAATTGCTGCTTGGACATAGCCTAAGCAAGCCCTCCAGACTCCGCTTTTCTCTTTTCTTTCACTTCCGCGCACTCTCTCCCTCAGGTTGAACGAGACATCTATGTTGGCGGTCCCAGGGACTCCCGCAGGTCGGTAGTCCCCCGGCAGACTTGCCAGACCCCAACACTCCTTGGCCTCCCAAAGTGCTGGGATTACAGGTGTGAGCCACCACACTTGGCTCCCTTATTTGTCATTTTGACTTTGACATCTCTTAGTTCACTGGCTTAATAATCTCATTCTTTCAAACCAAGAACTGGCATATAAAAAGGACTGTTTTCATACCTATAAGGTACTCATTTATACCTAAGGGCATCAAATTCATGCCCTCAGTGATTTAAATACAGACCATATTTTAGTTTATTAAGTTCTTCAAAAACTAAGCCAAGGTAAAAATTTAACATTCCTTTTCTAGGAGACCATGGACTGTGCTCAATGAGACAGGGATATGTATATATGTGTGCAAGAGTGGGCGAGGAGGCAGGGTTCCTGGAAGGAAAGGCCCATGACCTGGACCACATAACATGCCTTGCCTTTATTGCTGTGCTCCAGGCCTGCTTTTCCAAATTTCAGACAAACCAAGGTGGTGAGTGTCCTCAGACTTACTTAACACAATTAGTGTTCTCCCTTTCTCTGTCTTTGCAGGCATGGCTCAGGTCTCAGCCCCAATGAAACCCCCTCAGAGGCCTTCAATGACATCCAGTAGAAAGTGACCAACCCTTCCTTAAGCCACCCCTCCGGGTCACGTTCCATTATACCACCCTATTGTCAAAGCAATAACCATTAAATTATTTTCCTATTTATTGTGCTCTAACATTAGAATGCTATCTTCCAAAGGAGCAGGTGCCTTGGAACCGTGTCTAGCTTGTTCCTAACCGCATCCCCAGGGCCTAGGTCAGGACTTGGCACATAATAAGTAAATGAATGACTGGATGAATGAACTGGTTTTAAAAATCATCAGGATAATACTGAGAATGTAGAGCAGCCACAACTCTCATTCACTTCCAGGGGGCATGTACACTGGTACAACCACTTTAGATAATTAGCAGTATCTACTAAAGCTGAACATATGCATACCCTATGACCCAGAAATTCCAAAACAATAGATCTGACAGAAATACATATATATCATCAAAGACATGAACCAGATATTCGTGCAGCACTATACAGCAACAAAGTCAGACCCACTACAACTGCACATGACAACTGGGGAAAGTATCCCAAAACGATACTGAGCTAAAGAAATTAGACACCAAAAGAATATATACATTGATTCCATTTGTATAAAGTTTTAAAACAGGCAAAAGTAATCCATGTTTTTAGAATTCACAATAGCTTAATCCCAGCAGTTTGGGAGGCTTGCTTGAGGCCGGTGTTGGAGAAGTCCCAATAGAAGGTAAACTGGGTAGACGAAAGGGGACACACCAGGGAGGGGAGTGCTGCTGGGATGTTGGTCATGCTTTGTTTCTTGAAACTGGGTGCTGGTTACATGAGCATGTTTTCTTTAACAAACAAACAACAACAACAAAAAAAACGTTCAAAAAATTAATCAGGAATCCTTCTGAAGAGACAGCACAGGAGATCATAGCAGATGTCAGGCATCTTGTGTGTTACTCCATTTTCTTACCCTCCACCCAGCTTAATAATAACTATTTGCTAAATGCAAAGTAGATGTTATTATCACTTCAAGGTGACAAGGTGATAGTTTGTCCTAACTTACACAGGACGGCACAGCCTTAACTCAAACCCCAAACAGCCAGATTCCACTGACTGTGCTCTTAACTACTTCACCTTATGACCGTGTGAAACTGGATAATATTAATGTGTAAGTGAGAACTTGTGTTTGGTGTACTTATCACAATAAATCAGGCTTCCCAGCCACTGACTGAGTGTTGTGGATTGGGCCTCAGTTTGCTTATCCACAAAATGGAGAGAATAGAATCTTCCTTTTATTCAACCAATGTTTATTAAGTACCTATCCTGTGCCAGGTACTATTTTAGGATAATGGAAGATTAAGTGAGAAAATACAAAATGATATATCCACTTTCCCACTGCCAAAATCCCTGTGTTTATTTGTAAGGTACAGTGGTTTTTTAATTTTTCTTTTTTTTTTGAGATGGAGTCTCGCTCTGCCACTCAGGCTGGAGTGCAGTGGCACGATCTCCGCTGACTGCAACCTCTGCCTCCCGGGTTGAACAATTCTCCTAACTCAGCCTCTGGAGTAGCTGGGACTACAGGTGTGCACCACCATGCCCGGCTAATTTTTTGTATTTTAGTAGGGCCTGAGTTTCACCAAGTTTCACTATGAGACCAGCCCAGGCTGGTCTTGAACTCCTAAACTCAGGCAATTCACCCGTCTCGGACTCCGAAAATGCTAGGATTACAGGCGTGAGCCACCGCGCCCGGCTGGTACAGTGGTTTTAATGAATATTATGGAACTCACATAAAATTCAAGCAAAATTTTGAATTCAATTTCGGCGTATTCACAAACCTTCTAAAGTCCACATATTGTCCTCCATTACAGTTAAAAACTGTTGCAGAAGGACTGAAACCATTATGTCACATTGGAAACTCCTTTGGCATTTCCAGCCCACCTAATACAGCAGGGAAGAGGGTACTATTATTCATGTGTTACAGACTACTAGAATCGTCTTTAATCATTGCAGTTTCACAAATAGACCACGATAGAAATGCTTTTTCCAATTGTCACAGCAGAAGACCCTTCAATTCCGAGGTTAGACAGGAGAGGTAGAAAGGGGGCCACCAGACTTCTCTTCCGAAAAGAAGGTGAATGAGAGCCCAGTAGTTAGGAGGCGCTCATCTGAAAAAAAAATACCTGGGTAGGAGCCCAGACTGCTTAGTCACGAAAAGCGACCTAAGTAAAACACGTCTCTCTCCGGGAGCAATTACTATGTCCGAAAAATGGGGTAATAACTTCTGCTCCGCCTTCCATGTAGTGCTTCCTACACTATAGCTCAAAGGAGGAAATAAATGGATTGCTATACAAATGCAGATAGATGGAAAATCATCACTGAGCCTTAGGGCGCGGAGGGCAGGAAAGCTGGTGCTTCTCTGCTGTTGGCTTCCGCCTTCCTCACTGCAAACTCAGTCCCCGGCACCACGGGAAGCCTTTTAGGAATCGGGAGGTGGAACAGAGGAACGCTCCTAACAGCTCAGAACAGTGCCTGGCACTGAACAGGCGCTTAGTATATGTCCGCTGAATGAGTCAATGAGTGAGACTACAGAGAATATCTTCATTTCCGAGGTTCCGGTGCGCCCTCCCGGAGACCCTCGCAGCCCGCGGGACGCCACACTCACCGGGCTCCAAGGCTTCTTCCGGCTGGCCGCAAGCCCTCCGCTTCCTACTGTCTCCGCTTCGGGAGCTCGGGGGATGCAGCACCTCTAACCTGGACCAGCAGGGCTCCTTCTACAGCTACGAGCCGCAGGCCAGTTCCAAAGCGTGCGACTCACTAGAAACGGCAAGAAGGTGGAAGAAGAAAAGAAATTTTCGCGCCAATCGGGGTGGCCCCGCCCCCAGGACGACCCTCAATTACGTCACCAATAGCGCGCCTCTCCCCGCCCCGCCCACCTAACGGGGGCGCAGGACTTACATCCGGTAACGTGCTACAGCCATCATTGCTGATTCGGTCGGCGACGCGGAGCACGGAAGGTCTTTGCGCTGCGGTGTTTCCGGTTTCAAGATGGTCGCCTAATCTGTGTAGTGAAACCTCTTCCACCTTTCTCCATCCTCTAGGTGTTTTTTTTGAACCGGGATGTGACGCATTAAAAGACTCGACGGAAATAGAATCGAAGGCATTCTAAAATGGCTAACCGTACAGTGAAGGATGCGCACAGCATCCATGGCACCAACCCTCAATATCTGGTAGAGAAGATCATTCGAACGCGAATCTATGAGTCCAAGTACTGGAAAGAGGAGTGCTTTGGACTCACGGGTAAGCGGAAGCGCGCGGAGCCTCTCTTGGCCGCTTTGTGGCCCATTTCTTCTGACCGGGTGCCGGTAGGGCTAGCGACTGGCCTCTGGGGTGGTACTGGAACGGAGTATGTCGATCATTCAGAAAAATTTGAGTGCCTGCTAAGTGCTTAGTCTTGTGTTGAGTCGGGGACACAGATGAATCTGATAAGGTTATATTCTGAAGGGTGTCTTCAGTTGGGTTCTGTGAGTTATTTCATATTTAATGATGGCCGGCTGGGTTGCAAAGTGTTAAGCTCAGGGATCCGAATATAACTTTGTACACAATGTACTGAAGGTCTTTAAGAACCTAACATTCATATGCCTGAAACCAAATTCGTGATCTTACTACCCTTAGATTTGGATCAGTTGCAGTATTTCCACTATTGTGTCCTTATAGAAACATCAGTGCTTCACAGAAGTCTTCGAGGTAGTCTTTCGATTTGAATTGTGGCTTTAAACCTATGTCCTGTGACAATCTGTGGACCTTAAGCAAGTCACTTTACCTTTCTTAGCCCTCATTGTCCTTAACTGGAAAAAGAAACATTGCTACAGCTTTCTTCATAACTTGTTATAAAAGTTGAGTGAGATAATATGAAAAGCTTAGCAGGGTACCTATTTTATTATCCATTCTCAATGTATGTTAGCTGCTGTTGTTACTGTCATTAATATATATTTGTTCTCCTCATATTAAACTGTTGATGAGGATTTAGAACCAAAGCTTGAACTAACTCTCCACTTCCTACCAGGAAGAGCTTAACTCTAATATGTCACTTTGTTTTTGTTTTTTAGCTGAACTTGTAGTTGATAAAGCCATGGAGTTAAGGTTTGTGGGTGGCGTCTATGGTGGCAACATAAAACCAACACCCTTTCTGTGTTTAACCTTGAAGATGCTTCAGATTCAGCCTGAGAAGGATATCATTGTAGAGTTTATCAAAAATGAAGATTTCAAGTGAGTGCAGTGTTCACTAGCTAATAAAAGAGGTTTAATTTTGGCGTTTCAAAATTGGGCTTTGGTTAAGAGGGGTGTACGGAATGTATCTCATTTCTACAGAGTTTCACTCTAGATTTTTGCTCTTGAGCCCTTGACTTTGTATTTTTTGTTTGTTTTTTGTTTTGGGAAACAGAGTCTCACTGTGTTGCCCAGGCTGGAGTGCAGTGGTGAGATCTCTCAGCTCGCTGCAACCTCCTCTTCCTTAGTGATTTCCCTCCCTCAGCCTTCCAAATAGCTGGGATTACAGGCATGTGCCACCACACCTGGCTAATTTTTGTATTTTTGGTAGAGACAGGGTTTCCCCATGTTGGCCAGGCTGGTCTCGAACTCCAGACCTCAGGTGACCTGCCTGCCTTGGCCCCCCAGACTGCTGGGATTACAGGTATGAGCCACCACACTCGGCCAAGTTTGATTTGATTTGTTTTGTTTGTATTAATCTTCTACTTTACTTGCTCAGTCTTGAGAATTTTTCCCCCCAAAAAAAGGATTTTACAAATTCACTAAATATATATTAAGCAAAAGTGAGTGCCTAATAACGTTGGTAGGCACTGGACATTCAGGGGTGAAAATAAAACAGCAAAAGGTGATGGTTAAGAGGTGTTAGATCTGGGTTCACATCCAGATTCTGTTGCTCATTGATTGTGACACTGGAGAAGTTACTTAATTTTCTAAACTTTACTTTGTTTATCTGTAAAATGGTGACAGTAATGTAAGAGTGAAAGAAGGTAGTGCATGTATATCTCTGAACACAGCACTTGCTGCATGGTAAACACCTAAAAAATGTCAGCTTGTTCTATTACTGTATTACCATTGTCAGAGAATTCACAGAAAAGTATAGGAGGCAGGCATAATAGCTTTTTTTTTTTTTTTTTTTTTTTGAGACAGGAGTTTCGCTCTTGTTGCTCATGCTGGAGTGCAATGGCGTGATCTTGGCTCATCACAACCTCTGCTTCCCGAGTTCAAGTGATTCTTCTGCCTCATCCTCCTGAGTAGCTGAGATTACAGGCACATGCCACCACACTGGCTAATTTTTATTTTTAGTAGAGACAGTTTCTCCATGTTAGGCAGGCTGGTCTCTAACTCCTGACCTCAGGTAATCCACCCGCCTTGGCCTCCGCAAGTGCTGGGATTGCAGGCATGAGCTACCTCACCCAGCCCATGATAGCTGCTTCTGTGCTATGTTCTAAGGGCTTTGCATATAATAATTCATTTCACTTTCACAACAGCCTTCAAAACTTTTAATCCCTATTCTACAGGGGAGGAAACTGAGGCACAGAGATTAAGTAATTTTGTCCAAGGTTCAACACCTAGTAAGTGGCAAATCTGGCTTCAGAGTCCATATTCTTTGCTACAGTATTCTGCTTCGCATACAAATAAACTGAGTTTCAAACTCAGTTTGAGCCTCCTACTCAAGTGGAAATTTAAGTAGTTGGATATAGAAAAAAGGGAAAAAGAAAGACTCTTATAAAGCATTAGCAGCTAGAAAATACCTAAGTTTTGTTAGGCACTTACTGTGTTCTATATGCTATACTTAGTTTGTTAAATGCATTTCTTGTTTAATATACCAAGCCATAAACTAGGTAGCATTATCTCCATTTTACAAGGATTGAGAAGACACATAATTTGACCAGTAGTGTAACAGAATTAGTAAATTATGGAGTCAGAATTTGAACCCATATGTCTTTTTTTTCCCCCAAAACCAGCATTTATGTTTATGTGTTCTTGTTCTTGTATTGTTATTAAATATATCTTCTACTTTGTTTTAAAATTCAATATCCATCCGGGCATGGTGGCTCATGCCTGTAATCCCAGCACTTTGGGAGGCTGAGACAGGTGGGTCACTTGAGGTCAGGAGTTGGAGACCAGCCTGGCCTACATGGCAAAAACCCATCTCTACAAAAATACAAAAATAGGCCAGGCGCAGTGGTTCACACCTGTAATCCCAGCACTTTGGGAGGCCAAGACAAGCAGATTACCTGAGGTCAGGAGTTTGAGACTAGCCTGGCCACCATGGCAAAACTCCATTCCTACTAAAAATACAAAAATTAGGCTGGGTGTGATGGCACATGCCTGTAATCCCAGCTACTCAGGAGGCTGAGGCAGGAGAATCACTTGAACCTAGGAGGTGGAGGTTGTAGTGAGCTGAGATCGTGCCACTGCACTCCAGCCTGGGCAACAGAGCAAGATTCTGTCTCAGTGAATCGATCAATATTAGCTGGGCATGGTGGCAGGTGCCTGTAATCCTAGCTACTTGGAGGCTGAGGCAGGAGAATTGCTTAATCCTGGGAGGCGGAGGTTGCAGTGAGCCAAGGTTGCACCAGTGCACTCCAGGCTGGGTGACAGCAAGACACTCTCTCATAAAATAAATAAATAAAATTCATTATTTCGTTTGATTCTTAGAGTGATCCTGTGAGGTAAATAGGTTTTATTTTAGTGTTACTGATGATATATTTGAAAGTTGATCAATATGTATGATATTCCAACCGCCATAAATGGTAGCATGGGAACTTGAACCCAGGTCTCCATATTTTAGCTGTCTTCCTTCTGCTGCATTCTACCTCCACAATTGCAGCCTTCTTATCTGCCAAAAAGAAGAACATGTTTATCCACTACTGTTATGAGAAAAGGTGTTTGTGAAACTCAGAAATTTCTAGGATGGCCTGTTGTTTCACTGTCGTTTGTCTGTCAGGTATGTCCGCATGTTAGGGGCACTTTACATGAGGCTGACAGGCACTGCAATTGATTGCTACAAGTACTTGGAGCCTTTGTATAATGACTATCGAAAAATCAAGAGCCAGAACCGAAATGGGGGTGAGTATGGTGCTAAGTTTCCTGATTATCATTTTTAAGCCAGTGTTTTATTTCACCAGTACCTCTACCTTTGCGTTGTCATAGACAGTGTGAATGCTTCTCTTCATCTACATTGTTACTGTCTTTATGCAGGTTTTCCCCTCCCCTCTGTGAGTCTGACCACTAGCTTCATGTTGGCCTTACCCAGCCTGCCTCTGTCTGCCTCCCTTTCCAAATGCATCTTATGTTAATCCCTGCCTTGTAATATATGCCCCCTTTATATGTACTCCGTCCCAAAATACCTAGCTGCAGAATGGCTTCTCCGTAAAGACCTTCCCCAGCCCTCCCAGACAAAATCAGTTTTCCATATTTTACATCTTCACAGTTAGTTCTGCCGGCCTCTCCTCTAGTACTGTACTTGATGCTGTAGTGTATAGACTAAGTGTACTCATTTTTATACAGAAATCCCACTGAAAAATAAGTATATCCAAGAGAAGCAGCTCCATACCTTTTACAAAGAGATTACTTAATGTGCTAAGGAGGGATTCCAGGTAATGCAGTCAAAACCTTTTCTCAATTGGTATCATAACAGAAGATAGGAACATTTACCTTTCCTCCTACATGTATCTTTAAACAGTAGACGATTAAGAATTTGGGGCCAAGCACGGTATCTCATGCCTGTAATCCCAACATGTCGGGAGGCCAAGGCGGGCAGATTACTTGAGGTCAGGAGTTTGAGACCAGCTTAGCCAGTATGGTGAAACTATCTCTCTTCTAAAACTACAAAAATTAGCTGGATGTGGTGGTACACACTACTCATTTTATAATGCTACTCATTCTACAATGCACAAGCCAATCCTCAGACACAAATTTCTGACCCAGAATGTTAACAGGTTGAGAAATGCTTAGTTTTACATAATAAAATAATGAATAACTTCACCATGGTCATAATTACATCCATCTTGTTCACCATGGTATTTACACCACATAGCATAGTATTTATTCAATGAACTAATTAGTAAGTTTATAATACCACATTCTTTTTTTTTTTTTTTTTTTTGAGACGGAGTCTTACTCTGTCGGCAGGCTAGAGTGCAGTGGCGCAATCTCAGCTCACTGCAACTTCCGCCTGGGTTCAAGCGATTCTCCCGCTTCAGCATCCTGAGTAGCTGGGACCACAGGTGCGTGCCACCACGCCTGGCTAATTTTTGTATTTTTAGTAGAGACGGGGTTTCATCATGGCCAGGAGGGTCTCGATCTCTTGACCTCATGATCCGCCTGCCTCAGCCTCCCAAAGTGCTGGGATTACAGGCGTGAGCCACCGTGCCCGGCCAATCTTTTTTTTTTTAAGATGGCATCTTGCTCCATTGCCCAGGCTGGAGTGCAGTGGTGTGGGCTCAGTTCACTGCAGCCTCTGCCTCCCAGGTTCAAGCGATTCTCCTGCCTCACCCTCCTGAGTAGCTGGGATTACAAGTGCCTGCCATTGTGCCCAGCTAATTTTTGTATTTTTAGTAAGATGGGTTTCATCATGTTGACCAGACTGGTCTTGAACTCCTGACTTTAAGTGATTTGCCTGCCTCAGCCTCCCAAAGTGCTGGGATTACAGGTGTGAGCCACCACGCCTAGCCGGTTCTCAAAAGCTATTACTCCATATGCCATATAAGCTACATGCTCTAGATTCAGAAACATTGTGGGTTCATATGAGAAATTATATTTGAATTATATGATCTCTTCAAGATCAGCCCTACATAATTCAGGCTGTTTATGTTTGCTTTATGTGTTTGTCTCCTAACTGAGAAATCTTCATTTATCCCTTAACCTCTTCTAAAGAGGCCTAGCACATAGATTTGCTGATATGAGGTTTTAACACTTATTTTACTTTTTGGCATCTAAATCTGTTATTTCCAAGTTGTTTGAGCTAATGATTTTTTTTGTTGTTGCAGAGTTTGAATTGATGCATGTAGATGAGTTTATTGATGAACTATTGCACAGTGAAAGAGTCTGTGATATCATTTTGCCCCGGCTACAGGTAAGAAATAAAAGTCTCTTACCAGAGTCACCCTTCTCTTCCTAGATAGGCAGACAGACACACACATATACACAGCTAAAAACATTGAAGCCTGTGGATCTTATGGGTCCTCTTAATAAACAGTCTTCCTGTCTATGAGAAAGAGTGGATTGGGAGTGAGAGGAAAATAGATAAAATATTTGAAGGGTAGGACTCTAAAAGTGAATAGTTAAGGAAACTGTCTTTCCCCATCCTCTTGTAGTTCATAAACATGGTGATTGGGGGGTTCCCCCAGTCTCACAATTGATGTGAGATGTGCCTCCCTCAAACCTTCTTATAACGTCAGCACATTACCCGTCTTTCATGAAAAAAAAATTTCTTCAGGGTGTTAAGGATATTGTAGCTAGAGTAGGCATTTTTTAACTTCATGAACAGCTTTTTTCAAACTAATCTTCATGAAAAAGCCAGGACATAAAACAGATAAAAAGAGAGCTAGGAGTGGGAGACTGAGCCCTTAATTCCTTAAACTTGCCCTTTATCATCCTGCTTCCCTTTCCTAGTGATAATCGATTATCTGTGAGGCATCTTTTTCAGGAATGGGTTTTATAATTTTAAAACTGCTATTATAAAATGCAAAGGAAACACAGGTAAGGTAGCTAGTCTAAAGAGAAAGGGAATGGGCTAAAATGGAGAGGCAACTGAATAGGAAATTAGGAGGCCTGAGTTTCTGTGTTATTATAGCTGACTAGCTGTAGGACCTTGTCTTAATTTCTCCATCTGTAAAATGGGGAAATGAGTCTACCGCCCTGGTCTTTACACTGCCTTGTGGGGCTCTTTTAGAGATACTGACAGGAAGTGAAGATAGCCCCACATATTCCAACCAGGTTAGTTCCTTTTTCCTCTAGGTTATATGTTGGGCTTGAGCAGTGAGATTTTGTTTGAACAGAGGCTTTTTTGCTTTTGAATGGCTTGAGGTATAATTGTCTGTATATCCAAAGTATAAAATTTGATGAGTCTTTTTTTTTTTGAGATAGAGCCTCACTCTGTCACCCAGGCTGGAGTGCAGTAGTATGCAGTGCCTCCGCCTCTTGGGTTCAGGCGATTCTCATGCCTCACCTCCTGAGTAGCTGGGACTATAGGCAGGCGCCACTGTACCAGGCTAATTTCTGTATTTTTAGTAGAGATGGAGGTTTACTGTGTTGGCCAGGCTGGTCTTGACCTTGTAACCTCAGGTGATCCACCCACCTTGGCCTCCCAAAGTGCTGGATTTATAAGTGTGAGCCACCACACCCAGCCTCAGGTTGCCTTTTTAAATGCTCTGAAGTGCTTGCTTCCTTTTAGATAGAAACCAAAGACGATAATTTTAAAATAAAGGGTCACATATGATATGGTTCCTTTTATATTGTATATCCAGACTAGGCATAGAGACAAAAAGGCAGATTAGTGGTTGCCAGGAGATGCAGAAAGTGAGGAATGAGGATTGATTACTTAATGGGTATGAGGTATTTTGAAGGGATGATAAAGTTTTGAAACTTTAGTTTGGTTGCACAACACTGTGAATACAATAAAAGCCACTCAATTATACATTTAAAGTAGTTGTATTATGTGAATTTCATCTCAATTTTTAAGAAAAGATCAAAGAGATCAGAAAAACTTCAAAGTGGGAACTGAATGGATACAAGTATGTGATAAATGGGTGAGATTAATTTGCTCAAGGCAGCAAACCTGCTGGATAAAAGTATTTGGTAGATGGATATTTATGCTTAAATGAAGAACATCATCTCTTCCTCCACGTTGACCCAGTCATAATCTTATAAAATAAAAGTCCTGAAAATGGGTGTGATACATCTCTCCTGTTCCATGTTGGCACTGTAGAGTATGTAGTGGAGAGTAAGATTATAAATTTGAAAACCTACTTTGAGGGCCCAATTCTGATAGCAGTAATCTTGCTATGTTCCCTAGGCTGGTCCTAAACTCCTGGGCTCAAGGGATCTTCCCATTTCAGTCTCCCAGGGAGCTGGGACCACAGGCACATGCCACCACATTTAGTCATTTGGCATTTTTGAAATCAGTTTTGCCTCTCTGATCCTTAGTCACTCAAATATTGCTAAGCTATATCCCAGAGTAAAATGGAACCAGTTCAAAATGCATGAATCTGAACAGAACCCTAGATCATGGGTCTAATGGAGATTTGATGCTACTTTAGGGCTGAGCCTCTTGTGGTAGACCTACCAGCCATGAACTTAATTAGCCCTTGGACTTTCTCTGTGTATGAAGCCTTTATTTTTGGTTCTAGGCTATATCTATAGTGATTGATATTCCCATGAGTTTAGAATGTAAGATCACAGGGAATAGAGCCAATAGAAGATGAAGATGTTCCCTTCAGGTTTGTATTTATGTTTATAGGAGAACTTGAGTTTCTAGATTCCAGGTCTATTAAACTTGTTAGGAAAACCTTGAATGCCTTTGAAAAGAAATTGCCTTAGCTGTTGCTCCTCGGGGCCCTGAAGCCCAGTTGTGAGGTTTCAGGAAATGGCAACAACTCCTGACTCCCATTACTTTCTCCATAGAAACGCTATGTATTAGAGGAAGCTGAGCAACTGGAGCCTCGAGTTAGTGCTCTGGAAGAGGACATGGACGATGTGGAGTCCAGTGAAGAGGAAGAGGAAGAGGATGAGAAGGTCAGGCACCTAAGACTTTGAGAGCTGTAGGGGAGAGAGTTATAGAAAATGGGAATGGTTTTTTGTTTTTAAACTTTTTTTTTTTTTGAGACAGTCTTGCTCTGTTACCAGGCTGGAGTGCAGTGGCACAATCTCGGCTCACTGCAACTTCCGCCTCCTGGGATCAAGCAATTCTCCTGCCTCAGCCTCCGGAGTAGCTGGGACTACAGAGGTGTGCCACCAAACCCAGCTAATTTTTCTATTTTAGTAGAGACGAGGTTTCACTGTGTTGGCCAGGATGATCTCGATCTCTTGACCTCATGATCCACTTGCCTCAGCCTCCCAAAGTGTTGGGATCACAGGCATGAGCCACCACGCCCGACCTTATTTTTAACTCTATTGGCCAGGCACGGTGGCTCACACCTGTAATCCTAGCACTTTGGGAGTCCAAGGTGGGCGGATCACTTGAGGTCAGGAGTTCAAGACCAGCCTCAGTAACATGGTGAAACCCTGTCTTTACTAAAAATACAAAAATTAGTTGGGAGTGATGGTAGGCACTTGTAATCCCAGCTACTCAGGAGGCTGAGGCAGGAGAATTGCTTGAACCTGGGAGGCAGAGGTTGCAGTGAGCTGAGATTGTGCCATTGCACTCCAGTCTGGCAATAACAAGACCCCGTCTCAAAAAAAAATTTTTTTTTAATTCTTTAACCAAATACAATATTTTCTTATTGAAAGTACCTCAGCTCTGCCATATACTAGTGGTATAATCTTACACAAATTAAATTGAGTTTTCTCCTATGTAAAGTGAGGTTAATGATACTTTTCTCCCAACACTGTTAAAAGTATTAAATAAGATGATAAACATAAAGCCCTTAGCACATTTTTGGCACATTATAATTGCCTAATAAGTGGTGGCAGCTATTAAATAATTGGAAAGAAATAACGCTTGTCATAATTGCCCCTGTCCTCAGTAATAAGCCTTGTTTAGGAGGGGGAAAATGTCAACTGCATAGTCATGTTCTTTCAGTACTCGTTACAGTGCTGAAAAGTTGAAACCAGCCAAGCTGCCCAGTTGTTTCAGGAAGCAGCCAGGTAAAACTTTTGTTTTTTGAGACAGGGTCTCGCTTTGTTGCCCAGGCTGAACTACAGTGCCACAATCTTGATTCACTGCAGCCTCGGCCTCCCAGGCTCAAGCTATCCTCCCACTTCAGCCTCCTAAGTACCTGGAACTACAGGCACATGTCACCACGTCTGGCTGATTTTTGTATTTTTTTGTAGAGATGGGGTTTCACCATGTCTACAAAACATACACACACACACACACACACTCACTCACACTCTCTCTCTCCGCTCCTGTTCCTATATAGCTCATAAGTTTTGTTAGTTAATAGGGTAAGTGCTTCCCTCTTTGTAATCAGATCACTGTGCTTTAAAGTCACTTGGAGATGGACTTTGGGACAAGATGTGGAGCAAAGTATAATTAGTGTTTCTAGTGGCTCCTTATGAGCTTGTGCCTATCAATGACCCAGCCATCTTGTTTCCAGTTGGAAAGAGTGCCATCACCTGATCACCGTCGGAGAAGCTACCGAGACTTGGACAAGCCCCGTCGCTCTCCCACACTGCGCTACAGAAGGAGTAGGAGTCGGTCTCCCAGAAGGTAAAGCCTTAGTCGTTGGCCTTTTCCCAGGAGATTTTGAGCACTATAGCCTAGAAGTTTGGATTTTAGAGAAGGAAAAATGACAGCCTATGGAGAATGTTTGCCCAGTATATTAGTTATCTGTTATTGTAACAACCACCTATAAAACCTCATTGGCAGACAACAATAACCATTTGTTTTGTTCAGAAGTCTGTGGTCAGTAATTTAAGCAGAGCTTGGATAGGCAGTTTTTTAAGTACCTGTTTTGTTGTTAGCTGTTTGCTGGCTACTATGGGATCGCCTTTGCTAGGATGACAGGGGAAGTTTCCCTTCTCTGTATCATCCTCCAGCAGGATAAGATGGGCATCTTTTCATGGTACTGGCAGAACTAAAGAGCAAATAAACCCAGTCATGCAGATATTTTTCTTGTATCTGCTTTTATCACGTTTGCAAATATCCCATTAGTCAAAGCAAGTCATGTGTCCAGTCCTAAAGTTAGAATGGGAGTGTGCTAGTGTTACATGACAAAAGACATGGATACAGAGAAGGGTGATACAGAGAAGGGTGAAGAATAAAATTGGGGCCGTTTTTGCAATCTGCAACATCCAGTGCACCAACCTAGGCTTTCTTTTTCCTCTCTTTATAGGCGAAGCCGATCTCCCAAAAGGAGAAGGTAGGCCTTCGGTCATTTTGATGAAGGACAGGGCTTTCGGGAGTGGGGGTGGTATTGGTTGGTGTTTTATGTATATTGCTAACCAGATCTGGTAGTTTGACCAGTCTTTTCTACAGCCCCTCCCCCCGTCGAGAAAGGCATCGAAGCAAGAGTCCAAGACGTCACCGCAGCAGGTCCCGAGATCGGCGGCACAGATCCCGTTCTAAGTCCCCAGGTAGAGCATTTGGGCCTTTTGCCACAGGTTCTCTTAACAAAGAAACATAAAAGGAGCAGTTAGCCTTCTGCAGTACAGGGTGCCTGACTGAACTGCGTAGCAGAAAAGGAAATGGACATAGAATCTGAAAATAAAGGTTCACAGCTTGTCACTTTTATAAGCCTTGCTGATAAGGTTTGCTTCTGTTTTTTCATCTGAAATTACAAGAATAAGATCTAACATAATAATAGAAACCCAATATGATGTTTGTGAAGTCAGCCATAAAGCCCTTGAATGAATGTATTTGTATTTGAACTGGTTTCGTTAGTACTTTCTTTGCTCCCTCTTCCTTCACTAATTCAGAGAGTTGCTACCACTAAGAGGTGTCCCCTGCATAGGCCAAAAAAAATATCAAGCCAACGGCAGACATTAGGGAGGTGAGAATGGGAGTTTAATAAGAATTGAAGGGTAGGATCTCATACAGTGGCCTTTTCTTCCCCAGGTCATCACCGTAGTCACAGACACAGGAGCCACTCCAAGTCTCCTGAAAGGTAATGAATTGACCTCTATTTTAACTTTATTCAGAAATAAAAGTCCCAATTATAACTAATCGGACCTGAAATTTTGTTTTGTTGGGGCATATTAGGAATTCTCCTTAATTACAAGATAAAATTGGTCTATTGCTTTGAAAATTACTGGGGCTAGAGACCCTTTTTCTTTGATACGGTTTCGCATTTATAGTTTTTTCTTATAAAGTTTCTCAACCTTTATTTTTAATGAAGGACGTGCTGAGTTTTGCCCAGGCTGGAGTGCAATGGCGTGAACTTGGCTTACTGCAACCTCTGTCTCCTGGGTTCAAGCAAGATACCCGTTTTGTTTTGTTTTGCTTTACAGGATTGCAGCTTTGGATAATGGATGAACTTTGGTCTTAGAAGACACGGAGTTTAGTCCCAGCTTTTAAAACTTAACAGTTGAGTGACCTTGGAAGAGTCACTTTCATTTAATAAGATTTCATTAGAAACCCCCATGTGCCACATACTGTTGGGTGCACTCTTAACCTCTGAGACGTGATTTCCTCAATGGTAAAATTTGGATAGTAACCCCTGATTCAAGAGTGTTGCTCTGAATCAAAAAAATACCAAGCAGTTTAATGAATATGGAGTGTTAGCTCCTTCCCCATTAGTGTCAGCATGCCAAGGTCCTTCTCAGAAGTCCCTGCCCAGATCCTTAATGTAATTATTTATATGTGTTTCCATTTCAGGTCTAAGAAGAGCCACAAGAAGAGCCGGAGAGGGAATGAGTAATGGACTCGGTTTGGTTGTAGTCCACATGGCCTCCTGTGGATATGAGGGTATCTGTCTATGTGGAAGGCTTAAGAACTCCCCAGGCAGCTACAAGAATATTTTAGTTTTTTTCTTATAAAGTTTCTCAACCTTTATTTTTAATGAAGGAGGTGCTGAGTTTTGTATCTCTTTTTAATCATCATTAACATCAGTTTTTGACCGAACTAACCTTGACTGTATTCAAACTTATGAGGGTGGAAAGGATCTGTAGGTTGAAGATACGAATGACAAGGAAAGGATGTGGCCACCTGATGACCCTTCTCCTTTTTATTAAACCAGACACATCTGTTTCCCATTTCTCTGTCATTTAGTTTTTGGTTTGCTGTAGTTAGAACTACTTTGAGAATCCTGGGATTTGTGCTGCTGCTATTATTCAAAGATATGAGTAAAACATAGTAGCTCCTAACTTTTTTCCAGCAGCAGCAAATGGTGATACACATGAAAACTGGTTAACAGTTTTGAAAGAACAGAATGCATTCAAATGTTAGGCTTCTGGATCATTAAAGCCAGTTTCATTGAACAGTTCAACAGAGTGGTACTTAATACCCTTTATACAGCCCATTTTTTCATAGTTCCATTGGTTCTTGCCCACAAACTTGAAATCCAGGTTAAGCTATCCAGCCTTTGTCATATAAGCATTGACATTATCCAGGACTACTCGGTAGCAGTAGGTAACAGGATTGAAAAAGATTTGATGGAGAGGAAAGTATCTAATACTAGTCATGGTTTTGATCTAAATTGCTAGACAAGAGTGCCATTTACAAAGTAGAAAATATAGCAGAAAGAGAAGCTTTTAGGGGGCAGAGTATTAGAGGATTGTGCTAGTAATGAAAGGGATGCATTCAATTTAACAAGTTTGAGACAGCTATGGTATAGCTAAAAAAAAAAAAAAAAAAGCCCATAAAGTTGGAGATAGGCCAGAATTGACAATATTTTAAGTAATTGTGGAATCTGTCAATAAGACTGCACAGAGAGTGTTTATATCAGAAAAGCACATGAGAACCATAGACAACACTGGTGACAAGAAGTACTGGAATGACCCATTCAGAAAGACGGGAGAATTAGGAGACAGTAAGTGAAAGAAGCCAAGGGTCAAGAACGCAGAAGCAAAGTAAGGACTAAAAAGTCGCCATGGACATTGATAATCAAGAGATGAGATATTTGCTAGAAGAATTCCTTTTACCAGTACTTAACTCCCTTAAACAAAAGTGACTGACTTCCTGCAACTGTAGTCCTAGCAGGAACTGTGAAGACCAGCTGCCCTACAGAATCCAGTTTTTCTTGGGAAGTTATATCTGGTCATAAGGTAAACAGTGCATTCTGTTGCCTGCTCTTGAACTGAAAGATTTCTACAGCAATATTAAAGCTTTTTTAAATCTTAATTGAGCTTTCATAATCTTCAGTGATTCCTTTCATAACACCTGAATTAAAGAGCTCTTATGGTTTCCGATACAACTATATAGGACTACCTTTTAAAATTAAATATAGCCATCTCTACGTAAATGTTTTGCAGTATCCTATCAGTTCTTTATGAAAGTGATTTAGATAGAAATGTTTCTTGGCTAAATGACCATGGATCTAGTACACTCTTAAAACTTTAAATTAGGCTGGGTGTGGTGGCTCACACCTATAATCCCAGCACTTTGGGAGGCTGAAGCCAGCAGATCACAAGGTCTGAGGATCAAGACCGTCCTGGCCAACGTGGTGAAACCCCATCTCTACTAAAATACAAAAAATTAGCTGGGCGTAGTGGCACCTGCCTGTAATCCCAGCTACTTTTGGGAGGCTGAGGCAAGAGAATTGCTTGAACCCAGGAAGCAGAGGTTGCAGTGAGCCAAGATCACATCACTGCACTCCAGCCTGGCAACAGACCAAGACTCCCTATCAAAAATAAAACTATCTTAAAATACCATTTTAAGTAAAAATAAACACACAAAAAAGATGCAACAAATTTTAGTAAAAGAAATCTCCCTAAACATTAAATAAAATATACTTGTTTAGACATGGTAAAATGTGAGGTACCACAGCCAACCAATAGCAGGAAGGAGAATGTCCCTATTCTTTAATTAGGAGGTAAGAGTAAAACCGTGTAGTTTTGATAAAATAACACAGGAGATGGCGCTTAAGGACAAACCTTGCTGTAAGGCTGTTTCTGTCATCTATGTGCTTGCCTATGAACGAAGCTTTTAAACTTTTTGACTACAGCAAACATTTAAAAAGTTATTTTGCATCTTACCTCTGTATACACGTATCTATATTCTGTACTAAGACAAATTTAAGAAAAGAATTATGGAAAGTGAATTCTTGTATTTCCTATGTGGTAACAATTTTTAATACTGGATGCAAATATTAACTTATTACATCCAATATTAATATTGGATGCAAATATTTATTGCATCCAAAACTTGATTGTATTTCCAATAATTTGAAATATACTGCCTTAAAAGCTTTGCCATAGGGCACAATCACTTTTTAATACTAAGAAATAAAGGGAAATGTGTTCCAAGGGGCAGAAGAAATAATGGATTTCGTGAGAGGGATCCAATATAACAATCCAACTTAAAATTTATTCCTCTAATCCCTCTTCCTGTTATTCTTAAGTACACTGACTGAAGTTTAAGCATTATTTAGAAAATTGTCAGATTGCCCACTCCCTCGAACAGGTTAATTTGAAATTCTCCACAGACCCCAAAAAAAAAAAAAGACAACAGACATGATCTCTTAAAAACACACACACACGCGTGCGTGCAGGTTCAAAAGTGATTAAGAGATGGAAAATAAGATTGGTGGAATTTAAAGGCCTTATTAGAAACCACAAAACAGCACAGAGAAAATAGGCTGAAAGAAACAAAAAATGGAAAATAAAGAGAAATATGTAGAATAGAGAAATATTCTGATGATTTAAAAAGAATTAAATGGAGTCAGGATGGTTTCAGATCTTATAAAAAGAAGGCAATGAAGCAAAAAGCTCCAAAGGCTTGAGAAAAAGTGTGCCAGAAATTTTATACTTTGCCAAAGTTGTCTTAAAATACAAAGGCTATAGATGTTCTCAAGCTTGTAAGAACTCAGAAGTACAAATCATGAGCCTCTGGGAAAAAAAAACTGCCCAATAATGAAATTCAACTAGGCCGGGCACGGTGGCTCACGCCTGTAATCCCACCACTTTGGGAGGCCGAGGCGGGTGGATCACGAGGTCAAGAGATCGAGACCATCCTGGTCAACAAGGTGAAACCCTGTCTCTACTAAAAATACAAAAAAATTAGCTGGGCATGGTGGCGCGTGCCTGTAATCCCAGCTACTCGGGAGGCTGAGGCAGGAGAATTGCCTGAACCCAGGAGGTGGAGGTGCAGTGAGCCGAGATCGCGCCATTGCACTCCAGCCTGGGTAACGAGCGAAACTCTGTCTCAAAAAAAAAAAAAAGAAATTCAACTAAAGAAGAAATGAATCAAATTAAGGACTTAAGAAAAGAATCAGTAAAAGGAATGTTAATAAACATGTCAGAAACTTTAAAAATAATAGGCAATTATTATAAGGTCAAAGTTAAATATTATCAACACTGTCTGTACAGAAATAAGTAGTGTGTGCAGGTTTCATCTTTCATAGCAGGACTCTCAGTTTAATTAAAACATACATGAAACTAGAAAACAATAGCATTGTTATTGTTTTCCATAATTGTCCTTAATTTTAGGAGGAATCTTACAAGACTAGATTCTGTTGTGGGAAAAAAGTAAGTTGAGCATTTCTTCAGTTTCACACTTGTTTTCCTTTTAATTTGCTGTATTTACTAAATACAGCATATGAGCCCATTTTTGTAAAACTATTTGTATATATGTGTCTATATGATTAAGGGATGGTTGGAATGAATGAAGTTCACCAAGTAGTACTTCTTTCTGGATGATGAACTTTTGAGTGATTTTTATACTTTGTACTTTTACATAATGCTTATTTTCTTTTTGCAATAAACATGTTAATTTTTACAAAGAAAAAAATGGGTTGCTGGGAGTTAAAAGTTTTCTTATAAGCATACCAACACATTTTACATATTGTTTGCTGGAAGTACAAATTGATAACCACTCTTATGAAGGGCAGTTTGGCAATATGTAGCAGGAACCTTAGAACTTTTGATCCTTTTACCCAGTAATCCCACTTACGGGAATTCACCCTAATAGAATAATTACATGTACACACAAATAGCTTTATCCCATCATTTTACATGTTACATATATATGAGAAAAACTGGAAACAGCAAAAACGTCCATTTGTGGGGGATATAAACAAATATATTACACAGTACATCATAAATATTTGTATTTTTAATAATCCTAATGTCAAGGGAAAATAATCTCCATGTTATTAAACAAAACATTTAAAAACAATTTGGTCATAAATGTGTGTGTTCTCCCTGTATAAGATTGATAATTTTCTATTTAACTGCTTTACAATGAATCTGAACTCAACTGACTTTGCAAACTTAAAATCTGAGCTTCTACTGTATCAATTTTAAACTATATGCTCTTTTTCAACTTAGAACAGTTTTGCTAATTGTTGAACACTGGCAGTTACTGAAGGAGGGGCAAATGAGATGCTGAAAACTAGTATCTATAACACCATCACAAAAGTAAAATCAAGGTTATTGATTACTAGGTTGTCAGTTAATAGCTTCTGCCAAGTGGTATTATATTGCCTTCCTTAAGAAAGGCTGAGGGGTGGGGGCATTTTCTGTTATTGCAAATTGTTTTCTTTTTAATGACTTTCAAATACTGTCCTCCCTTGGTATTTGGTGGGGGACTGGTTCCAGGACCTCCCGCAGATACACCAAAATCCAAGGATGCTGAAGTTCCTGATACAAAAGTGTAGTCTGCATATAACCTATGCACATCCTTCTTTATACTTTAAATCATTTCTAGATTACACATAATGCCTCATACAGTATAAATTCTATAGGAAAAGTTGTTGCATTGTTTAGGGTATAACAAAAAAACTGTGCAAGTTCAATACAGACACAATTTTTTTTTTTGTATCTGTAATCCATGGTTGGTTAAATCCATAGATGCAAACCCCAGGGATATGGAGGACCTACTGTATGTACAAAAGTAAAGAGAGTAATAAACACTCCACATCATTACCTGTTCTCCAAGATGTGGAAGGATGTGAAGTACTGGATGTTAATTTAAATCTTGAATGCTCCAAGTCATTTTAACATAAATGCATAGTTGGGTCAGGTATCTTCTTAAAACAAATGATCTAAATCCACCACTTAAGTAGGATTCTGAAGAATGCTGAAGCTTTAATAAGAAAAAATAGTAAACATACCTCACTTTAACTCAGGGCTATAAATACAGCACGAATACCCTCAATCTCTTGCAATAGGTTTCAAATATCTTCCATGATGTGAAATATGGCAAGGGCCCAAGCAGTTTCCTATTTAAGTAATGTGTATCACAGGGAGCAAAGCAAAGATAATACACTGTCCCTAAAATACATTTTTATCTACTTATTCTGCACATTTCCAAATAGATCTATAGCATCATTTAGCTTAAGACGCCAGGTAACTGGATGGACTAATTAAGGGCCCAGAGAAAATTATCTCACCTCACTGCTAAAACAGCTGAAAAATTAGGCCACCACCAACTTGAGTCTGAATTCCAATACCCAATAATAATTAATCCCAAGTATTACTAGTAAACAATCTTGACAAGTGTGCCTTCCAGGTGGAAGTACAGGATTCAAAATTATGAGTCTCGGCCAAGAGCGGTAGCTCACGCCTGTAATCCCAGCACTCTGGGAGGCAAGTGGATCACCTGAGGTCAGGAGTTCGAGACCAGACTGACTAACATGCTGAAACCCTGTTTCTACCAAGAATACACAATTTAGCTGGGCATGGTGGTGTGTGCCTGTAATCCCATGTACTCGGAAGGCTGAGGCAGGAGAATCGCTCAAACCCAGGAGGCGGAGGTTGCAGTGAGCTAAGATCACACCACTGCATTGCAGCCTGGGTGACAGAGACGCTGTCTCAAAAAAAAAAAAAAAAAAAAAGACTTACCTTCCCTCCACTCTAATTGCCAATATTAGTCTCCATGTTTTAAAACTCTCTTCCCAAAGATGTTTCAATTCAGACTGCAGCATATAAGTATGCTTTTTGGAATTTATCACTTTGTGTTTCAGTTTTCACTTTCAAAGATAAAATGGAGATGGCTTCTGCTTCTATCAACCTCATATGGGTGTTGTGAAAATCCAACCACATGGGACATAAAATGATACTTGAATCTCTAAAACTAAAATCTGTGATTTAGAATGCTCTAGTCACTGAAATTAAAACAAATCTTGTTAAACAGTATTTCCATCATCTATAACAGATGAATTAACCAAATGTGACTCTTGTCAAAAAGATTTATTAACTTAAAATAGAAGTACTTCAAATACAGACAAAATCAACTTTCTGTTAAGTTTGAATGTTCAATATACAAGTATGGAAAAGAAAAAAAACTGAATCTTCATGTTGTAATTTTATTTTATTTTTTTTACCTTTTAAAAAGTTTTTGGCACTACAAGGTTCTGTAAAGAATAGAAGTGACAAATTTAAAACACATGAAATTCTTTCCTAACTCTTAAGAACAATATATAAAGTCTGAAGCAACCAAAGTATGAATACAGCTAATAGAAAATAAAGAATGTAATTTTTTAAATTCTCTCTTTATACAATTCATCAAGGTTAAACAAAACATAAAATTCCCTTAAAAATAGGGTAATAAAATAGATGAAATTTGTATCACTCATTTTGGTGATACTAGTAAAAACTATAGTTCATATTTATATACAAATAATACAGTCTGTAAAAACAGTCTTAGAATTTAAATAAGCTATCTAAATGTGTTAAAATTTAAATCAGGACCTGATTTGTTTTGCTTTCCATTAAATGTCACTTTTTCTGCTGAATGTAACTGACATTGAGGTACGGATACCCTTGAGACAGCAGGATTGGCTGGTTGCTGTGCATCGGTAGACCAGCTGAAAGAAAATGGACTCGCATTACTCCGACACGTTTCCTCTTGGTGGGTGGGGACAACGCTCTCTACACCGACGGGTGGCACATCTGTCTGTTGGATACAACACAGACAGGAAACTGAAAGGTTCGTGCCTGTTTATCTGACAACACCTTAGAATTAATTTTTAACTAGGTTTCTTTTTTTCTATTTATATACTAGGAGGAGATGAAGCATGCCAAAACATTTGAGAGGGTGGGGAGAAAAAGGAAGACGGAAGGAAATATGTGTATGTGAAAAAAGGAGAGGAAGAATCAAAGGGAAAAAACTCACTAGAGAGGAGCTGCAGACTCTCTCCTCCTAAAAGGGCTTATGACTAATAGTAACTTCCCTTAGCCTCAGTTATTTGCTCAAGAGAAGAACCCAACCATAGTCAAGGCACTGCCATTCTATACTAAAGGGATGCCCCAGTAGTATATGGGTGGTTTAAGCAGCTTAAATAGGCCAAGCACGGTGGCTTACAACTGTAATCTCAGCACTTTGGGAGGCTGAGGCAGGCAGATAATGAGTTCAGTAGTTCAAGACTGGCCTGACCAACATGGTGAAACCCCCGTCTCTACTAAAAATACAAAAATTAGCCAGGCGTGGTGGTGTATGCCTATAATTCCAGCTACTCATGAGGCTGAGGCAAGAGAATCATTTGAACCCAGGAGGCAGAGGTTGCAGTGAGCTGAAATCACACCACTGGACTCTAGCCTGGGCGACAGAGCAAGAACTCCGTCTTAAAAAAAAAAGAAGGCTTAAATATAACAAGCCTGAGACCATACCAGGTACTTCCCCTTTAAGTTATCATTTCATTTACTGGGCATTTCCTGAGTGCCTGTTTTAACTTCTTAAACTCATTTAACTATACTGACTCTGACCCCAAGTGTTCTGAACTAGGTTAACAAGGAGCTGAAGGCCAGACTCAGACAATGCCTGTAAAAACAACCACCTCTGAAGCAAGTAGGTTAGATAAAATGCTCAAAGTTTCTAGGAATTCTTAGTTTATAATATTCATTATCCAGCCAAAGCCATTATTAGTACCACAATAGCACCAGCAGAACATAATAAATTTAAATGTCATTCAAGTCCTACATTTCCTAAATAAATCTGATTATGTCTTCGTTTCCTTAAAAACCTTTCAACAGGCTAGGCGTGGTGGCTCAAGCTGTAATCCCAGGACTTTGGGAGGCCAAGGCAGGCAGATCACGAGATCAGGAGTTCTAGACCAGCCTGGCCAAATGGTGAAACCCCGTCTCTACTAAAACTACAAAGACTACAGGCCTGGAAGTGGGCGCCTATAGTCCTAGTTACTTGGAAGGCTGAGGCAGGAGAATCGCTCAACCCGGAGAGGCAGTGCCACTGCACTCCAGCCTGGGCAACAGAGCAAGACTCCGTCATTAGATCCCCATTGCTCAGTAAACCAAGTCCAAACTTTCTCATATACCTCCATTCTCTATCCCTATTATTTTCTGTTCTTCATTATGCCAGGCAAACTCAGTGACGACATATATTAATCCCTTAGCTAAGCATACTCTTCCTCCTCTCTAATCTCTAGGCAAAAAAAATTTCTGCATCTCTTTCAAGAGCTATCTCAACTGTCAAAATCTTGTAATTATTAATAATCTCTTACATCTATATCTTGTTTTGATTTGCTAGGGCAATGTTAACTGATTCATCTGAACTCCTTTTCTATTTAACATGTCTGGTTTCTCTAATAAAATGTGCATCAAGTAATGAAGATTTTGTTTTACTCTTGCTTGAGCAACAAGCACCTAGCACTGTTTGACACACAGTATGATCTCTCAGTAAATGTTTACTGAATTCATGAATTTTCACTCCCAGATCCTGGCCTTCACTAAGGCTCTCTATCCCAGAATAAAACCCACCCAAACGTGTTAACTTATTTGTAAGCAATGGTACCTTGAGTATAGAAAGGTTTGTTGGGCTGAAATCGGGCATTTCCCTGATGCATGAAGTTTTGATGCAAACCATAAGGCCACGAAGCTGGGACAAGGGGGAAATGGGGACGTGGTGCATGTTCCCAAGGAATTGGAGGAGTCAGTCCTCGAAAGCCAGGCTCTGCATTTCAACAAGAAAGGAAAAAGACATTTAAAAACATTAGTTTGTTCGTTGAAATATCCCTTCATTCCACAACACAAAGATACACTCCGTACCTACCATTGGCTAAGAACTACACTAAATACAGAGAATACCAAACAAAAAAAAAATTTTTTTTTTTTTTTTGAGACAAAGTCTCACTCTGTTGCCCCGGCTGGAGTGCAGTGGCATGATCTCAGCTCCCTGCAACCTCTGCCTCCTTGGTTCAAGCAAGAATAAAGCATTGTTATTTGCTCAAATTATTCATGAGAGACATACAAGAAGATATATATACAATAATATGTAATAATTGCTAGAACAGGCAAAATGTTCTGAAGAGAGGGCTAACCCAGTCTTTGAAGGTTAAAGACAGTCTTCCTAAGATGATTGACTAATTTCAGTTTTTTTAAAAAAGGAAAAATTTAGGCAAAATGCGGAGTGGGGGAGCATTTTAGAGAGGAGTATCATGTATAAAAGCCTGAAAGCACAGCAAGTTTCAGAAAGTGCCGAACAATCCGAAATTGGGACAGGTAGGTGGGGATATACATCTCAAAAAACCTTAGTATATCATGCAAAGGAACTTAAGATTTTATCTAAAGATAGTGCCAACTATCCCAGAATCAATTATATCCTGGCCTAGAAGGAGATCCTATTAGAAGCTTGAGGCATTGGGGTGTAATGGCTGAGAACTGTGACTTTGAGGCCAAACACGTCTAAGCTCAAATCTCATTTCCTAAAACTACTAAGGTTCCATTTTGAACCTCAGATTGTTATGAGGTTAAAATTGGATAACCAAAAGAAAATAGCTTGTACAAGATCTAGCATATAGGTAGTTACTCAAAAAATACAAGTCCTATTCTTTTTATGGCTAACTATCCCCCAAAATCTATTTCCCTTTAAAATACACCTTTAAGTACATTCTTTGAAGTACAGTACCAGTTTATCTTCTAGATCATTTCTGGTGGCTTTTCTCATTCAAAGTCACGCTGTGCTAGGGAATAACTAAAAGACACTGCCCTTATTCACTAAACTTCCTAGCAGAAACTCAAATTAGGAAGTACGGGATAGGAAAGAGTAGGCTGCAAAAAAACTAAAGCCCATGTGAACTGCATTTTTGTAAGCTGAATTGTCTCAGGAGGTAAGCAAAATAGCTTGATCACTGTGAGTTCATAAAGCCAAGTTACAATTAAGGGCTGAAGCTGAGGCACTCAGGGTTTACAAAAATAAATGAAACTGGGTATGTCCAGATTTAGGTCAAAACCAATGAGAAATGATATTTTAACATAAAAGAGTATTTTTAAAGGATATATTCCAATTATCTTGTAAGTTTTTCATAACCCAAAATTTCCTTAAAATGAGCAATACGATCTCATTAAAGATAATTTCAAAAATAGGTGGGAAAACTCACATGATCTCCTTCTCTAATACAACTATGATTATTATTTTAATATATTTCCATTTAGTCCTTCGGCTTTTTTTTTTTTTTTTTGAGACGGAGTTTCACTCGTTACCCAGGCTGGAGTGCAATGGTGCGATCTCGGCTCACTGCAACCTCCGCCTCCTGGGTTCAGGCAATTCTCCTGCCTCAGCCTCCTGAGTAGCTGGGATTACAGGCACGTGCCACCATGCCCGGCTAATTTTTTGTATTTTTAGTAGAGACGTGGTTTTACCATGTTGACCAGGATGGTCTCGATCTCTTGACCTCGTGATCCACCCACCTCGGCCTCCCAAAGTGTTGGGATTACAGGTGTGAGCCACCGCGCCTGGCCTCTTTTTTTTTTTTTTTTTGAAACAGAGTTTCGCTCTTGTTACCCAGGCTGGAGTGCAATGGTGCAATCTTGGCTCACAGAAAAATCCGCCTCCTGGGTTCAAGTGATTCTCCTACCTCAGCTACCCAAGTAGCTGGGGTTACAGGCATGTGCCACCATGCCCCGCTAATTTTGTATTTTTAGTAGAGATGAGGTTTCTCTATGTTGGTGGCTGGTCTCGAACTCCCAACCTCACGTGATCCATCTGGCTCAGCCTCCCAAAGTGTTGAGATTACAGGTGTGATCCACCCTGCCTGGCCTCTAGTCTTTCTACTTTCATTTTTTTTTTCTTTTTTTTTTTTTTTTGAGACGGAGTTTCTCTCCTTACCCAGGCTGGAGTGCAATGGCGCGATCTCGGCTCACCGCAACCTCCGCCTCCTGGGTTCAGGCAATTCTCCTGCCTCAGCCTCCTGAGTAGCTGGGATTACAGGCATGTACCACCATGCCCAGCTAATTTTTTGTATTTTTAGTAGAGACGGGGTTTCACCATGTTTACCAGGATGGTCTCAATCTCTTGACCACGTGATCCACCCGCCTCGGCCTCCCAAAGTGCTGGGATTACAGGCATGAGCCACCGCGCCCAGCCTGTCTTTCTACTTTTAACACAATGTAACTGTGAATGAAATTTAATTATGAATTGGGTATCTATACAACAAATAATATTTATTAATCGCTTATTAGAAATATTATAAAAAGGATCAATATATCTAACACAGCAGGCTACTAAAGAGAAAACTAAACACACTACTAGAGAGAAAAAGACAGACAAAAAAACACAATTTTTTGCCCCTATTACTTCAGTCTAATGGGTTATGCAGACGCGTAAACAGACAAGTTCAACATAGTAAGACAAATGTAATGATATGGATATTAAGGAAATAAGGAGGACTTCCTGAAGAAAGAGATTTAAATTTAAATATGGACAATGAGTGAGTTAGACAAGCTTTGAGGCAGCATAGAAGGACATGTGAGTGAGCAGTGGAGGTAACGGAGAGGACATTCTAAGCAGAAGGAACAACTTAGATAAGCCACCAGGGTTAAGAGATGGTACAGTATGTTTGTGGAACATTAATTAGTTCATTGTGACAAAAACACTGAGAGTAATTAGCGGCAGGGAGAAGGAAGAATTTTGGTCAAAGGGCAAAACACTGGGTCTGTCTTCATGGTTATATAACTCAGTGACTATCACAGTGCATGCCATGGCATATACACAACAAATGTGTTAAATGATATATGAGAAGGACACATGAGAAGGACCACGTGTGCCATATATCTTTTCATCTTAGAAATCTAATTAATTTCCCATATTCTGGCATTTTTGCTCAGCAAAACACCTTATTTGCATTGTTCCAAAAAAAGCTGGAGACAGCAAAATAATGGATACTGGCCACAATTTTCAATGGCAGCTAAGGCTATTAAGTAAAAATTGATGAACATAATGGATAAAACAGGCTGATAAAACCTAATTCACAAATCAATCTTAAGTCACTAAAATAGTTATAACCAGACAGCAAGTTCCTTCAAAAGTGAAAAACTGGAAATACATGGGACCCACCAAGCAGTATTCTTACCAACAGAAGAGTCTGAATTTAATCCAGTCTCTGAATCTAAATCCCAGTTTACAGGAAATACAGGGACAGAGGTACACATTAAATGATAGTACAAAGATATAAGCAGCCAACTCTAGAATATGGGAAATCCTATAGTCCCTTCAAAAAATAGTTAATATTGGAAAGAATACAGAAGCAGCAACTGCTATAAAGGACAAAGAGTTATAAAATCAAATACATAGTTGAATCTTTATTCAAATAAATCAATAAAAATAATACTTTTTCAGGCTGGGCATGAGGGCTCACGCCTGTAATCCCAGCACTTTGGGAGGCAGAGGTGGGCGGATCACAAGGTCAAGAGATTAAGACCAACCTGGCCAAGATGGTGAAATCTTGTCTCTACGAAAAATACAAAAATTAGCTGGGTGTGGTGGCAAGCACCTATACTCGCAGCTACTTGGGAGGCTGAGGCAGGAGAATCACTTGAACCCGGAGGCAGGGGTTGCAGTGAGCCGAGATCGCACCACTGCACTCCAGCCTGGTGACAGAGAGAGACTCCTTCTCAAAAAAAAAAAAAAAAAACTTTTTAGACAGGAAAAAATGAACAAGGAGTGAATATTAGATGATACTAGGTGTGGTAATGATCTGATGTTTTTTTTAATGCTAAAACCAAAGTTAAAAAGCAAATTTGATCCAATGACTGAGATTTGATCAGTCAAGCCAAAATTATTTTTATATATATTTTTTGAGACAGAGTCTTGCCGTCACCCAGACTAGAGTTCAGTGGTGCAATCTTGGCTGACTGCAACTTCCGCCTCCTTGGTCCAAGTAATTCTCCTGTCTCAGCCTCCTGAGTAGCTGAGATTACAGGCGCCTGCCACCATGACCAGCTAATTTTCGTATTTTTAGTAGAGACAGGGGTTCACCATGTTGGCCAGGCTGGTCTCAAACTCCTGACCTCAAGTAATCTGTCCACATCAGCCTCCCCGAGTGCTTGGATTATAGGCATGAGCCATCATTCCCGGCCAAAGCCAAAAAAAACTTTTTTTTTTTTTAAGGAGTCTCGCTCTATCGCTAGGCTGGAGTGCAGTGGTACAATCTCAGCTCACTGCAACCTCTACCTCCGGGGTTCAAGCCATTCTTTCACCTCAGCCTCTTGAGTAGCTAGGATTACATGCATGGCCACCACACCCGGCTAATTTTTCTGTTTTTAGTAGAGATGGGGTTTCACCATGTTGGCCAGGATGCTCTCAATCTCTTAACTTCATGATCCACCAGCCTCCCAAAGGGCTGGGATTACAGTAAGCCACCGTGCCCAGTTGGCCAAAATTATTTTTAATGGTAAGGAGTCAAATAAAAGAACAGCAAATTATTGATAACCGTTAAAGTTGGTTAATGGGGAGGGGATTCATTATATACTTTACTCTCTTTTATGTATGTTTCAAAATTTCCTTAATAGTTCTTTTCTATTTTTGAGACAGAGTCTCACTCTGTGTCCAGGCTGGAGTGCAGAGGCGCAATACTGGCTCACTGCAACCTCTGCCTCCCAGGTTCAAGCAATTCTGCCTCAGCCTCCAAGTAGCTGGGACTACAGGCACAAACCACCACATGCTGTATAAAAATACTTCTTATTTGTATTTTTTAGTAGACATGGGGTTTTACCATGTTGGCCAGGATGGTCTTGATCTCTTGACCTCATGATCCACCCACCTCGGCCTCCCAAAGTGCTTGGATTACAGGCATGCACCACTGCGCCCAGCCTCCATAATAGTTCCTAAAAATAATTATCACTAAAAAGCTGAGTATGAGCCAGGTGCAGTGGTATATACCTGTAGTCCCACAGCTATTCAGGAGGCTGAGGCAGGAGGAGCGCTTAAGCCCAGAAGTTCAAGGTTATAGTGTACTAGATTGGCCTGTGATTAGCCACTACATTCGAACCTGGACAACACTGTGAGATTTTTGTCTTTCTCTCTCTCTCTCTCTCTCTCTCTATATATATATATATATATATATGTGGGTGGATGTGTCTTTTTTTTTTTTTCTCCTTGAGACAGTCTCATTCTTGTTGCCCAGCCTGGAGTGCAGTGGTGTGATCTCAACTCACAGCAACCTCTGTTTCCCTAGGTTCAAGCAATTTTCCTGCCTCACCCCTCCCAAGTAGCTGGGATTACAGGTGTACATCACCACACCCAGCTAATTTTTGTAGTTTTAGTAGAGACAAATTTTGTCATGTTGCCCAGGCTGGTCTCGAACTCCTGGCCACAAATGATCTGCCCACCTCAGCCTCCCAAAGTTCTGGGATTACAGGTGTGAGCCACTGTGCTAGCCTGTGTGTGCATGTATAAGTGTGCATAAATATTTATATTATAAATATGTATATTTTTAAGCTGGATATAAAATGATTTATGGCATGTATCAACTATTTTCTTAAACAGGCAATTTTTTTTAAATGACTGAATGGTAATATACCAAAATATTTCCTAGTATTTATGTCTAGGAATTGAGATGACAGATGATTTATTTCTCAAATACTCTACAGTGAAGATGTATTACTTAGATATCAGAAAAAAACTATTTTTTAAATGTTAATAATATTTTTTCTTTTTTTAAATAATTGTTCCTTAATGAGAAATAAGTGTCTAGGGCAAGCAGCACAGTTTTGAACAAAGAAAATAGTTTAAATCTTGGATCTACCATTATTATTATTATTTGGTTTCCTTGTTTTTTTTGTTTGTTTGTTTAAGACAGGGTCCTGCTCTGACACCCAGGCTAGAGTGCAATGCTGTAATCTCAGCTCACTGCAATCTCCACCACCTGCATTCAAGTGATTCTCCTGCCTCAGCCTCCCAAGTAGTTGGGATTACAGGCGCTCATCACCACGCCTGGCTAATTTTTGTATTTTTGGTAGAGACAGCATTTCACCATGTTGGCCAGCCTGTCTTGAACTCCTGAGTTCAGGTGATCCACCCAATTCACCCTCCCAAAGTGCTGGGATTACAGGTGTGAGCCACCGCACCCAGCCAACCTACCATTATTAACCATGACAGTAAGTTACTTAACTCTTCAATTTCATCAACTGTATACATAACAATACCTACACCATACTGGGTGGCAGTGCAATTTTCAAAAAATACTAAAATAATAGCTAACATTTATGTGTATTACACCTCATTTAAAATTTACAACAGTAAGTTAAATGCCCTATTTTACAGATAAAACCAATGCACAAAGAGATTAAGTAATTGCCCAAGCTACATAATAGATGGTAGGATCAGGATTCTAATCCAGGCAGTCAGAATCCAGAGTCTATACTTTTAATCTTTATCTAATCCTGCACTGCCCCTCCACAAATACTGCTTTCCTTGTTTGTCCTCACATTGTTTCTATAGACATACAGGTTACAAAAGAAGAAAAGGAAAGGTTACCTGAATTCCCCACTGCACCACTGTTCACCAGGGAATTTGGAGCCACAGTACGCGGCCAGTGTCCATCATGAGACGTATTAGGAATTGCCACAGGTCTAGCAGCAGGCTGTGCAAAGATGATGCTGGGATCATTCAGGCCAATATTGTTGGGGGCACTGCCTGGTGCAGAGTGGATCACTGGGCCATGGATGGGCCAGGATGGAGCAGGGATTTGTAGAGGGTGCATAGGCAACAACCCCATATTGTGCATGGGAGAATACTGAGTTGGTGGTGACTGGGGAAAGTTATACAGTGGCATCTGGACCTGATGGGGAGGTTGAGCTCCCTGCTGAGGTGGGCCAAGCTTAGGTTGGGATCCTGGCTGAGAGGAAGGCTGGGTAATAGCAGCTGACTGGGAAGAGTTCTGTGGAAATGGCTGAGGCTGAGGAGAGTAAGATGGTGATTCAGACTGCAGAAAAAAAAACACATTTTAAAATTAATTTTAAAACATCTTAATTTTATAAAAGCAGAGATAAAAATACAAAATTTAAAACTTTATAAACAGAACTCTATGATGTATATCATAACAAATAATGAGATTTTCCAGAGGCACTCAAATCCCCATCTCAAGTAGATATTACCTCACAAATCTCTTTATTGTTCAAAGAAAGCCCAGACATGGTTCCCATCGGGCAGAACACATACTTCCCATTGCGAACTCAAGACTTCTATCTAAATATCTCATAGTCACTTTCATTTAGTCCCTCCCCAAGTATTAACGGTGTCAATTACATACTTAGTACTGTTCTAGGTAATAAAAATGTAATACCAACAAGTATGCCCTCATGGAGCTTAACGTTTATGGGGGATAAGGAGGAGAGGAGATGAAGATTACATAAGCAATCACAATAAGTATAATGAGTACTATGATAAAGAATGTGTAGTGTATAGTTATTCCTCAGGATATGCAGGGGTTGGTTCCAGGACCCCCACAATCCTCCTGTACTCAAGTCCCACAGTCAGCACTACAAAACCCACATATACAAAAAGTTGGCCCCTTGAATACTTGGGTTTTGCATCCTGGGACTACTGTATTTTGCAACTACAATCTGTTGAAAAAAATTCATGTATAAGTAGACCAATGCAGTTCAAACCTGTTTCATTCAAGAGTTAACTGTATGATGAAATCCCAGGGCAGAAACACCTAAAACCACTTTGGGAGGAGGAAAGGAATCAAGGAAAGCTTCCCAGAAACATTTAAGCTGAGACTCAGGGTAAAGAGAAATCAGTATGATACAAGAAGGTAGAGATAAGGGGAGAGGAAGAGTGTTCAATTTGATTGAAGGTCTAGAGGTATGAAAACACATGCCTTTTTAAAGTAATTGGAATCTGAAAGAAGTTTAATGTTACTGGAGTATAATGGCAGGGTAATGGCTGAGGCTGAAGACCTAAATAGGGGCAAGACAATGAAGTGTCTTATAAGCCTTGTAATTTACACTGTCTCCTAAGTGCAGTGGTAACCACTGAAGGTTTTCTTCTTTTTTTTGAGACAGAGTCTTGCTCTGTTGCCCAGGCTGGAGTGCAATGGCATGGTCTTGGCTCACTGCAGCCTCCAAAAGCGATTCTCCTGCCTCAGCGTCCTGAGTAGCTGGGATTACAGGTGCACGCCACCATGCCCAGCTAATTTTTGTATTTCTAGTAGAGATGGGATTTCACCATGTTGGCCAGGCTGGTCTTGAACTCCTGTCCTTGTGATCTGCCCACCTCAGCCTCCCAAAGTGCTGGGATTATAGGTGTGAGCCACCATGCCCAGCCTTTTTTTAGAGACAGAGTCTCTCTCCGTCGCCCAGGCTGGAGTGCTGTGGTGCAATCTCGACTCACCGCAACCTCTGCCTTCCGGGTTCAAGCTATTCTCCTGCCTCAGCCTCCCGGGTGGTTGGGACTATGGGCTCACACCACTACGGCCAGCTAATTTTTTGTATTTTCTTTTAACTAGAGCCAGGGTTTCACCATGTTTGCCAGGATGGTCTTGATCTCTTGAACTCGTGATCTGCCCGCCTCAACCTCCTAAACTGCTGGAATTACAGGCGTGAGCCACTGTGCCCCACCACTGAAGGGTTTTAAACAGGTCAGGAACATGATCAATCCGCACTTTAGAAAGATTATTGTGGTTTAGTAAGAATAAAATAGAGAACTTTTTTTAAAGGCTGATGAAAGACAGGCTTGCCACAGTGGCTCAAGCCTATAATCCTAGCACTTTGGAAGGCTGAGGTGGGCAGATCCCTCAAGCTCAGGAGTTTGAGACCAGCCAGGGCAACATGTCAAAATCCCATCTTTACAAGAAATAAAAAATCAGCCAAGTGTGGTGATACATGCCTGTATTCCCAACTATTCTAGAGGCTGACATGGGAGAATCACCTGAGCCTGGGAGGTTGAGACTGCAGTGAGCTGTGCTTGTGCTACCAGACTCCAGCCTGAGCAACAGAGCAAGACCCTGTCTCAAAAATAAATGTATGAATAAATAAAAACTAAAAGACTGTTGAGACTGATTAGGAGGCTGCTATATACAGCAGTCTTGAGATGACAGGTCTAGGCTAAGGAAATATAAACAGGGATAGAGGGAAGCAAATGACTGTAAGATACTTTTTTTTTTTTTTTTGAGACAGAGTCTGTGTTGCCCAGGCTGGAGTACAGTGGTGCAATCTTGGCTCACTGCAATCTCCAACTCCCAGGTTCAGGCAATTCTCCTGCCTCAGTCCCCCAAGTAATTGGAATTACAGGTGTGTCCCACTACGTCCAGCTAATTTTTTGTATTTTTAGTAGAGATGGGGTTTCACCATGTTATTCAGGCTGGTCTCAATTCCTCACCTCAGGTGATCTGCCCACCTAGGCCTCCCAAAGAGCTTGGATTATAGGAGTGAGGCACCACATTCAGCTTTTTTAAAGGCAGAAACAATAAGACTTAGTGACTGGATATAGAGGTTAAAGGAGTGGAAAAAGTTTTGGAAATGAGATAGAAAATGCATCATTCAATGAGATATAAAACACAGGAAAAAGAGGCAAGACCTGGGAGTTGGAAGGAAAGATTAACTACATTTTAGACAGGTTGAGGTGCTAATTATTAGACATGAGAATAGCAATGACCATTAGATACTCTCTTTCCAAAAGCACAGGTGAGAAAAATGTGAAGACTAGAGGCAGAAAATGAAAATTAGGGCAGCCTAGAAAAATGGTTAGAGCATAAGTTTTGGTGACAGAGAGCCTGAGGGTTCATGTTCTGATTCCAGGCGTCTATAGACCTCAGGCTCGAAACTTAAAACTCCGTTCCTTTATCTATAAAAGTATAATCAGAATTTGCCTCAGGTTTTTGAGAAGATTTTGAGGTTTTAAGATAGGAATGGGATCGAAGAAGAATGTACAGGGGTTTCAACTGAGGGTAATTTTTTAATTAAGCTAAAATAACAATGTTAATGTTATTTTAACATTATTTATTATTTTCTATATTTTTGAAATATAATCACAAAGAATGAATGCATGTATAGCACAGAGTTTACACTCAACAAATGTTAACTACATTAAATGTGATTGTTGTTGTTTATGAAAGCATCAGACACATAATAGGTATTCAAGTGATTAAGGTGAGGGTGGAAAATTTCCTAAATGTTTTCCAAAGATTCTCCCTAATACTCTTCAAATACTAAGTTTTTTCTAAGACACAAATCATATTAGATTTAGCATGTTAAACGATTAACAGATTTGAAACCAGAAAGACCTCGGTTTGATTGTATAATCCCTTATTCTCAGTTTCCCAAAATATAATATTTGATCATACTAATACCTAATACCTATCACTTCACATGGCCACTCGAAAGATTAAATTTGCTAAGTGTAAAGCACTGAACATTATGTCAGATTTAGAATGTTATTTAGAGTAATTATTAATTAATTTAAGAAGTACAAGGTGAATACAGACTTACACAAAGGTTAAAAGCAACTCAGCAAACTTAATATTAAACTTATGAGTGTGGGCTGGCCACAATGGCTCACATCTGTAATCGCAGCACTGTAGGGGGCTGAGGCAGGTGGATCATCTGAGGTCAGAAGTTCAAGACTAGCCTGTTCGATATGGTAAAACCCATGTCTACTAAAAATATAAAAATTAACTGGCTGTGGTGGCATCACCTGTACTCCCAGCTACTCAGGAGATGGAGACAAAACTGCATGATACCAAGGGTAAGGAGGTTGCAGTGAGCCAAAATCGCACCCACTGCACTCTAGCCTAGGTGACAGAGTGAGACTCTATCTCAACAAAAAGAAAAAAATAAATAAAATAAACTTATGAGTCTGAATTCTGATTCAATATTGTTTTTTTACAGGGTATATTTCACTAGGTATCAATATGCCAAGCTATGAGAAGACACAAGTTTCACATAAGCAAAATGCCATGTATATACTGCCTTATTTTATGTCTATTTTTATTAATCGTACTGATATCTTTCCATTAAGCAAAGTCTGAAACCTCAAAGTTATTACCTTATTTTTAATCCATCTTATTAAGTAGTTATTTTATAACTGAAGAGTAGGCTCATGTAAATTAAGTAGCTTGTCTATAGACAGGAACCCAGATCTACATTATTCTAAAAGGAATACCCATTCCACCTATGTGCCTAGCAAGGACATTTATACAAAGCACTATGTAATCTGGAAGATTCTATTTGCCAGCCTGAGAGAAAACACTATCACTCAAAGACTAACACATTGACAGAATACTTACACATTCTGAGGACTGTCTTGTCCTTACGGACTGATCACCCTGCTGCTGAGCTGAACCAGCCACCTGTTGAGCATTTACAAGGTTGCGGACCAGCTGGGCTGCTAAGAGAAGGCATCACAAAGAAAATCAAGAGATAAGGAAAGTAGCAGAGAAATGACAATAAGTAAACTCCTTTCTTAAGTAGAAGAATCTCAAATATCTCTCCAATTTTATAAACTTAGACTTTTAAATTACGAGTATATTAGTGAAGGACTTGTAACAAGTTTTGAGCCACTTTTGAGCAAGGACTTGAGCTACTTTTAAAAGCCATTTTTCAATCTAGCAAATCAAGAAAAAAATACACTGATCCTACACACAAGAACAAATGCCATTTTGCTTTTCAAAAGGAACAACAGATTTATTTGAGAAATACTTTCTGGCTGGTTGCAGTCACTTTTATCTGTAATCCTGGTACTTTGGGAGGCTGAGGTGGGGAGCTCACTTGAGTCTGTGAGGTCAAAGCTGCAATGAGCTATCATTATACCACTGATTCCATCCTGGGCAACAAGAGCAAGACCCTGTCTCTCTCTCTCTCTCTCTCTCTCTCTCTCTCTCTCTCTCTCTCTCTCTCTCTCTCACACACACACACACACACACACACACACAACCTTTCTGCAATAAGAATCTGAGCAACTGGAAATCACAACTTCTAAAACGTTCTTTTTTTTCTTTCAATAAATTCTTCCTTGGGTTACTATTTAATTCTCAAAATTCTTTGTGAAATATAACATGAACAGATATCCCTCTCTCATAGCAGCAGTGGGAAAAAATATAATTTCTCCAATACGTTTCTCAAAAAACAAAATCTCTAATAAAGAATGTCATACTGATTGCGAGAGAAACAGATGAAGAGTCTGACTCAAATCCAAAAATTAGGCCAGGCATGGTGGCTCACACCTGTAATCCCAGCACTTTGGGAGGCTGAGGCGGGTGGATCATCTGAGGTCAGGAGTTGGAGACCAGCCTGGCCAACATGGCGAAAGCTGTCTCTACTAAAAGTACAAAAATTAGCATGGCGTGGTGGCAGGCGCCTGTAATCCCAGCTACCCAGGAGACTGAGGCAGGAGAATCACTTGAACCCAAGAAGTGGAGGATGCCATGAGCCAAGACTGCACCACTGCACTCCAGCATGGGTGACAAGACGAAGACTCTATCTCCAAAAAAATAAATAAATCCAAAGAATACTTACAGAGAGATAAAACTGAATACAACAGACTGTGGAGATCTTGAAAATAAATTTATCCAAGTACTATTCAAAAAAAAGGCCTCACTGTCTAAATTTTATCTCTTTAAGAAATTATAAGAGTGTGGTAGCTCATGCCTGTAATTCCAGCACTTTGGGAGGTCAAGGCAGGCAAATCACAAAGTCAGGAGTTTGAGACCAGCCTGACCAACATGGTGAAACACCATCTGTACTAAAGAAGAATACAAAAATTAGCCAGGCACAGTGGTCCAAAATCATACAACTAGGTTTGCAATAGGGAGGAATCAGGATCCTTTAGCATGACATCAAAATAAATGACTTCATTTCTATCAGAAACTGTTTGGCCTTTTCTGTTTACCTGCCACACTGCTATTCCTCTGACGGGCCAGCTTGACCTCTGGGCACTCCCTTCGTACATGTCCAGCATCTCCACATATAAAACATCTGAGGTCTCTGGGGTCTCTAAAGTCTCGAGTATCGTGGAGGTCTCGGGAGTCAGTGTCTCGGGAGTCTTTCTCTTCTTCATTCCCTTCCTTCTCTTCTTCACTGTCTTTCTTCTTTAGTCTAAACAGTAAACTGCTGATACCAATAATGTGGGGCTAGGGACTTGTAAATTAAGTAAGTCACAGACAAACTAAATTATGCAGGACTCTCACAATATCAAAAAGACTAACATGCCCATCATTTCATGCATCTTTTTGAAGGCAAGGGAACATTCATTTATGGCATACCTGCTCATTTGGCAGAAATGGGGGATTTTCCAGTAGTTTTGTAAAACAACATTATGTTAAATTTTTTTAAATATCAAATTGTAAAACTTTAACAATTCTTAGAGGTTTTAAAAAGAAACTGAGGCTAAGAGAAGATAAGTAAGTGTCTTGACTAAATTTAATAGTCAGTAAATAGCAATGATGGAAACTGGAAGTCTGTTCTGTTTCAAAACTTCCAAGTTTTTATATTAGGCCAGACTTGATGACAAAAGAAAGAGACCTTCCTGACCCACTGTAGTATACAGAACCTATACTAGAATTTGAAGATATATTTTTGAGGAGATACATAGATGTACATTCCCTAAGATCTTTAAGCATAACTCACAGCATATATCTCAAGAATTCCATTAACTGTATTTCAGTTATTGGTCTGCATGACCGAGATCCTCACAAGAACCCAATATCTTGGTCACTTTTATTTCTTGGCTTCTAGCAGTTTCCAACAAATAGTAGGTGTCAATAAATGTTTCTTCAATTAAAAACACAATAACAATAAAAACTGGCTGGGCATGGTGGCTCTGGCCTGTAATCCCAACACTTTGGAAGGCCAAGATGGGTGGATTATGAGGTCAGGAGTTCGAGACCAGCCTGACCAACATTGGTGAAACCCCGTCTCTACTAAAGATACAAAAAACTAGCCAGGCATGGTGGTGTGTGCCTGTAATCCCAGCTACTCGGGAGGCTGAGGCAGGAGAATCGCTTTAACCCAGGAGGCAGAGGGTACAGTGAGTCGAGATTGCACCATTGTACTCCAGCCTGGGTGACAGCGTTGAGACCATGTCTCAAAAAAAAACAAAAAACGAAAAACATCTAAGTAAATGAATAAATAAATGAACAAATGAATGTTAGAAGATATTATTATACCACATATAAATCTTACCATATTACGAAATTCCACTCAAATGAACATTTACCTTAGGTATAATTTAATACCCTAAACTTTCTCACCTAAACATTTCTGAGCATAATTATAGCTACAAATTGGCCTCTGATTTATTTTCCTCAAAATGTTGATATATATTCATTTGCCAACCTTTTCCTTTTAGGGCAGTCTTTCATGTAGTGGCCTATTTTTCCACACACACGGCAACATCTATCATTGGGAGCGAGTTCTCCATCTGTTAATACTCTGGAATCAAAGAAGTACTCCTAGGGAGAAAATGCAGTTTCACTAGGAAGAATCACTACAAAATATTTTGAATTCAAATGGAAAGAAGACCAAGATGAAAACATGGTTTATATTTACAAAGAAAATAAACAGCAACAAATAGTTTGTAACTAAAAACCATGATATGAAAATAAGATTCACAATCATCATCACTGTTGCTAATAGTACTAACCAAATTACATCCATATGACATTAAACAAAGAAGCTACAGATGAATAAGAAAAATCTCAATAAAGTAGATACTATTTTCACCCTCACTCTATAGATGGGAAACCTGAGATTAAGAAGTTCAAGTAATTGGCCCATAGTAAAAAAAAAAAAAAAAGTTAAATCTGAGATAAAAGATTTAGCTAAGTCTGTCTCACTATAAAACTCATGCTTTCTGCTATATTGGGTTACCTTTGGAAAGGAATTCTCTGTACAAAACTGCCTGTAGGCTCAGCCCAGTGACTCATGCCTGTAATCCCAGCACTTTGGGAGGCCAAGGCAGAGGGATCACCTGAGATCAGGAGTTTGAGACCAGCCTGGCCAACATGGTGAAACCCCATCTCTGCTAAAAATATAAAAATTAGGCTGGAGGCGGTGGCTCACGCCTGTAATCCAGCACTTTGCAAGGTCGAGTTCAGAAGTTTAGGACCAGCCTGGGCAAAATGGTGAAACTCCGTCCCTACTAAAACTACAAAAATCAGCCAGGTACAGTAGCAGGTGCCTGTAATCCCAGCTACTCAGGAGGCAGAGGCAGGAGAATTGCTTGAACCCAGGTTGCAGAGGCTGCAGTGAGCCAAAATCATGCTGCTGCACTCTAGCCTGAGTGATAGAGTGACACTCTGTCTCAAAAAAAAAAAAAAACAACCACAAAAATTAAGCATCGTGGTGTGTGCCTTTAATTCTAGCTCCAGGAGGAAGAGATAGGAGAGCTGCTTTAATCCAGGAGGTGGAGGTTGCAGTGAACCAGATCATGTCATGGCACTCCAGCCTGGGAAACAGAGAGAGACTCCATCTCAAAAAACAAAACAAAACAAAAGCCTATAGACCCAGATACTCAGGAGGCTGATATGGGAGGATCACTCGAGGCCAGGAATCTGAGGCTGTAGTGCATAATGACTATGCCTATAATAGCCACTGCACTCCAGCCTCGACAAAGTATCGAAACCCTGTCACTAAAATATAAAAATAAGTAAATAACACAACAACAAAAAGCAATTCTCTGGTTTATGTGAAATATGACTGAACTGCTGAGTGAAGTGGCTCACGCCTGTCATCCCAGCACTCTGGGAGGCCAAGACAGGGGAATCACCTGAGGTCAGGAGTTCAAGACCAGCCTGACCAACATGGAGAAACCCTGTCTCTACGAAACATGCAAAATTAGCCAGGCATGGTGCCACATGCCTGTAATCCCAGGTACTCAGGAGGCTGATGCAGGAGAACTCCCTGAACCCAGGAGGCGGAGGTTGTGGTGAGCTGAGATTGCGCCTGGGCAACAGGAGCAAAATTCCAACTCAAAAGAAAAAAAAAAAGAAATATGACTGAATTTAGACTTGATCTTAGCCAAACTGTCAAGAAGCAATATATGATTGGATTTAATACAGCTTTTTAAGAACATGTAACATGTATTACGTAAGGAAGAGCAGACCTAAAGAAAAGGTAGGGAGCCAAAAAGAAGTAAATAATTTTCCCAGGTATTAGAACCAGACTTATTTTTGCTATATCTTTGCACCTTGCTTAACCTTCTAAGCTTTAGCTTAGTTTTGCACTATCACAAAGACTAGTTGGTCCTAAACGATGTCCGTCCTTCTAATAGGCAAGATAACATGTCCACTTAGCTATCTTCAAATCTACCTAAACTCAAGGATAAAAGTATAAGGGACATGCCCAATAGGACAGCTATAGTTTTTAAAAGACAGTAACAAGTACTGGTGAGGATACAGAACAACTAGAACCCACATCTTGCTGGTGGGAATGTAAAGTAGCACAGCCACTTTAGAAAACAGTTCCTTTAAAAGTTAATTTATCAAAATAACACAGCAATTACACTATTAAGTATATACCAAAAGAAATGAAAACATATATTCCCACAAAATTTGCATACAAATATTCACAACAGCATTATTCATTAAAAGCCAAAAAGTAGAAACAACTCAAATGTACAAAAACTGATGAATAATGAAATATGGTCTATCCATACAATAGAATATTTTTCAGCCATAAAAGAGAATGAAGTACTGATTTATGGTATAGCATGAATGAATCTTGAAAACATCATGCTAAATAAAAGAAGTCAGTTTCAAAATGTTACATATATGATTTCACTTATATGAAATGTCCAAAACAGGCAAATCTACAGAGACAAAAAGTGGATTAGTAGTTTGAGAAGAGGGGAAGAGAGGGAATGAGAACTGATTGCTAATAGGGACAAGGGTTTCTTTCAGAGAAGACAAAAATGTTCTAAAATTAAATTGTGGTGATGGTTGCACAATCCTTTATATATACTAATAAAAAAACTACTGAATTGCACAATGAGTTGTACATAATGTGGACTCTATTCCAATGAAACTGTTTGGTTTGGTTTTGTTTTTTAGAGACAGCATCTCACTATGTTGGCCAGGCTTGTCTTGAACTTCCGGCCTCAGGCGATCTTCCTGCCCTGGGCTTTCAAAGTAATGAGATTACAGGAATGAGCCACCATGTCCATTCTGTGTATGTTTTTTTTTAAAGATGAGAGATACAATTCTTCATTACTACTGATAAATCAATATAACTAATTAAAATCACCATCATATTTTTTTGCCAGGACAAAATAAAGGTCTTAATTTACCCAGTTGCTTAAGACAGAAACCTAGGTAGCATCCTAACTTCTTCTCTTTCACCCATTACTTCTAATTAATGACCAAGTTGTATCCATTCTATTATTGAATATCTCTTGAATCCACTTTTCTCTATCCTTACACCCTAGTTAGGGTGGCCTACACCTGAGGCGAGCAAACTTATTCCATAAAGAGTCAAGTAGTAAATATTTTAGCTGTTGTGACAAAATTGAAGATGTAATATAGGTACTTATATAATAAGAGAAAACAAATTTCCACAAAAAATTTACTGAAGAAATGTTAAATATGCTAATAGTAATAATTAGATATAATTTTTTTGTAAGTTGACTAAGAATATAATTATTTCAGAGGCAGATCATAGTTCACTTAATTGGAGTTCAAAGTTAGTATTCCCTATCATTCAAATTGATAGCAACTGTTCATCTGTAAATGTTGATCTGCCATTATATTTTATGTATTTTAACTGAAAATGTTTCTCACAGATGAAGAGGTTGAAGATACAGAGCAGACAGAATAATCCAGAGTACATATGTAAAAACTAGTCTTTCATAAAGGAAGGATATCTGCAGATGCAGGCAGATTTATAGATCTAGAAGCAGAAAGCTAAAGAACTATTTATTTGATACGATGTATCAAATAAAGAGGAAAAGCATCTACTGGAGTGAGAAGGGCAGAGGTAAAGGGTGGGACAAAGTGCAGGGCATACTGCATTTTTTTTGTTTTGTTTTTTTGAGACAGAGTCTCGTTCTGTTGCCCAGGCTGGAGAGCACTGGCACAATCTCAGCTCACTACAACCTCTGCTCCCGGGTTTAAGCGATTCTTCCTGCCTCAGCCTCCCGAGTAGCTGGAACTACAGGTGCATGCCACCACACCATGCTTTATTTATTTATTTTATTTTATTTTTAGTAGAGACGAGGTTTCACCCTGTTGGCCAGGCTGGTATCAAACTCCTGACCTCATGATCCGCCTGCCTCAGCCTCTCAAAATGCTGGGATTATAAGTGTGAGCCACCACACCTAGCCAGCATACCGCATTTTAAGTAAAATAAGTAAATTTGAAATAGTTCTAACAGAATAGGAGCTAAAGATAACTAAAGAAATATGACTATCAGACAGCACTGAAAGTCCAGTTGAGGCTGGTTAAACATTTATGACTGTACTATATACTTAAAACTGTCTAGCCTTTTGACTTATATCCATTAGTGTACAGCTACCCAAGCAGAGCCACATGGTGGATAGCAGAATTCATATAAGGCAGAATACAGAAGAGTACACAGGAAGGAGAGTGGCACAAAGGAATTTAAGGTATATGCTAGACGGCCAGCTGCAGTGGCTCACACCTGTAATCCCAGCACTCTGGGAGGCCAAGGTGGACAGATCACTTGAGATCAGGAGTTTGAGATCAGCCTGGCCAGTGTGGTAAAATCCTGTCTCTACTAAAAATACAAAAATTGTCTGGGAGTGGTGGTGAGCGCCTGTGCCTGTAATCCCAGCTACTTAGAAGGCCAACGCAGGAGGATCGCTTGAACCCCGGAGGTAGGGGTTGTAGTGAGCTGGGATGATACCTCTGCACTCCAGCCTGGGTGAAAAGTGAGATTCCATTTCAAAAAAAGAAAACAAAAAAGGGTATATGCTAGAGAGCAGACAAAATCTAAGCTAAATGGGGAAGAAAAATAACAGAAGACAGCTGATGGACAGGGACAAAATGGGTCAATACATAAGAAGATATAATTATGTAGAAAAATAATTGACAGAACAAGAAATATACTTCTCTTTATCTTTCATTAATTTAAGGAAATAAGGCAAATATATCTTCTATGCTATGATCATCTCAGTAACTAGGAGTGAAATAGGTATAAGCATGAAAGACTATGTACAAGAATTATTTTCGACAATACAGGTTGAATATCGCTTAATATACAGAATGCTTGGGGTCAGAGGTGTTTTGTATTCTGGAACACTTGCATTATATTTATGCCAGTTGAGCATCCCAAATCAGAAAATCTGAAATCTGAAATGCTCCTATGAGCATTTCCTTTCAGGATCATGTCAGTACTCAGTTAAGTTTCAGATTTCAGATTTGGGAAGCTCAACCTGTGGAAGTTATAACACTGATATAATGAAGATAACCTAAATGTCCATCAAAAGAAAAGTTAGATAAACTAGTATATCCAAGTTATGGAATACTATATACTGACTTTGGAAAGAGAATAAAGTAAATCAAAAAATGATTAGCATCATGGGCCCCTTTTGCTAGGCCCCAAATGACATTCAAGACCAAATACTTCGATATTTATATGAAACTCAGGGCTAATTATAATATATTGCATTATTAAGAATTACTAAAAATTTGTATGCATAAACTAAAATTGGCACATTTCCAGTTTACTGAGGACTCTAATTTAGTATTCTACTAAAAAGTCTCAGCCAGGCACAGTGGTTCATGCCTGTAATCCCAGCACTTTGGGAGGCTGAAAAGAGTGGATCACCTGAGGTCAGGAGTTCAAGACAACACTGACCAACATGGTGAAACCCCATCTCTACTAAAAATACAAAATTAGCTGAGTATAGTGGCACATACCTGTAATACCAGCTACTTGGGAGGCTGAGGCAGGGGAATCGCTTGAACCTGGGAGGCAAGATCGCACCACTGCACTATAGCCTGGGCAACAGAGCGAGATTCCATCTTTTTAAAAAAAAAAAAAAAAAAGTGCCACTACATGGTGTTGAGCATGATGGCTCATGCCTGAAATTTCAGCACTTACGAGGCCAAGGCAGGAGGATCACTTGAGCCCAGGTGTTCAAGGCTGCAGTGAGCTATGATCACACCACTGCACTCCAGCCTGGGCACCAGAGCAATACCCTGTATCAAAAAAACAAAAATAAACAAAAAGGTCTGACTGCATGCAACACTTGTATATATAAACAAAAATAGTTGGAATTCTCACAATTCTCAGGTAAAATGCTTTAACAGTGTATCATCATATTTGTTTTGATCTGGTTTTCATTGTTCCTATTTCAATTAAAATATTAGGAAAATCAGGGCAGGCGCAGTGGCTCATGCCTGTAATCCCAGGACTTTGGGAGGCTGAGGCGGGAAGATCACCTGAGGTCAGGAGTTCAGAATCAACCTGGCCAGCATGGTGAAACCCCCATCTCTACTAAAAATACAAAAATCAGCCAGGCATGATGGCAGGCACCTGAAATCCTGGCTACTCGGGAAGCTGAGGCTGGGAGTAAGAGAATTGCTTGAATCCAGAAGGCAGAGGTTGCAGTGAGCCAAGATCTCACCATTGGATTCCAGCATGGGCAACAGAACAGGACTCTGTCTCAAAAAAAAAAAAAAGTAAAATTATTGTTTAGTTTTCCTTTAGTCATTTTGTTCTTACATTTTTTGTGCATTGTTTCAAATTTTATTATTTTATTTCTCTCCATTATAATTATTATCACCCCCATAAGAGGATAAAAAATACAAAGTATCAGAGAACCAGTGCTCCAAGGGAATAAAGACTTCTCTCTACTTTTCTTGTACTCTCCTCAAGAAAGCAGACACCTGAAACTGGACTGAACAAGTTCAAGGACATTCACTATGCAAAGTAAATGTATGTTTGTTGTGACGGTTAATCTGAGTGTCAATTTGACTGGATTGAAAGATACAAACTATTAATCTTGGGTGTGTCTGCGTGGGTGTTGCCAAAAGAGATTAACATTTGAGTCAATGGGCTGGAGAAGGCACATCTGCCCTTAATCTGGTGGGCACATATAATAATATTCCAGCGAATATAAAGCAGGAGGAAAAACGTGAATAGGCAAGACAAGCCTAGCCTCCTAGCCTACATCTTTCTCCCATGCTAGATGCTTCCTGCCATCAAACATCAGACTCCAAGTTCTTCAGTTTTGGGAGTCGAACTGGCTCTCCTTGGTCCTCAGCTTGCACACAATCTATTGTGGAACCTTGAGATCCTGTAAGTTAACACTTAATAAACTCATATATATCTCCTATTAGCGCTGTCTAAGAGAACCCTGACTAATAACATTTATTCTCTTACTTGAGATTTCTTCTAAGTCTCTTGTTCTGAAGTTGAAACCTCCTGTAGTCTCCCTAACCATAAGAAAGCAGGCAAAAACCAGAGTGAGACAAAGGGGAACGTGTGACACTCTGCCACCCAGTTCAGGCAAAAGGAAATTTCTCCGTTCCATGCCATCTAATTCAGCTTACCAAAGCTATACAAAAATTAGAGAACTCCCCACAAATAATAAACTCTTTCTCTGCTTTTGTCTTCTCTGTGTATATTTTCACCAAGATTTCTAGAGATAAAAGAGGAACAATGAGCAGCACCTAAAATTCAACAATCCAAAGTCTTGATTACCTAACTCTCACTCACTCAACAAATGCTTACTTGGTACATCCAATGTGCCAGACACTATGTATGTACTGGAAATAGAAAGGTGAACCTTACAGATGTGAATCCTGTCTTCATGGAGTTTACAGTCTAGTGGAGAAGACAGAATTTAATGAATAGTTTCAACAAATAAAATTAAAAATATGTGTATCTCATTATGGGCTATGATAAATACAATAAGAAAAAATATACAAAGCTATGACCATCTCTTTCCCTATATCATCAATTTGGAAACAGGATTAAGTTTCTTGTTCTATCTTAAAAAAGAAAAGGTTCACAATTCATATAATGTAAACTTACAGCTTCTCTGCCAATGAGTGGATAAAAAGGGGTACCAAAAAGTTTCCTTCCATTGATAAATGCTTTCATGATGAAATTGGTCACTATTAAAGAAAGAAGAAAACAATAAAAATGCAAACATTAATGTGTCAAAGTTTTAAAATCAGAGAATCTCTATATTTAAAACTTACTCTTTCTAGAAACTCCAGCACCAAGGTTATGATTCAAGTCAAAAGGGTCTATAAAAGAAATATAACAATTATTAAGAATTACATTCACTGTACCATAAAAATGTACTTAGTAGACATTACTAAAGTCTAATACTTATATGTACTCAGACTATACAAATCAGCAAATTATTCCTCTAAAATTACAGATTAAGGGATAAAAACTGATAAAAATCAAAAGGAAGAATCTTCCAAATCCTAATGTATTTCAGTTTTCCCCTCAATTTCCTTGGCTAAATTTTGGTAGTTCCTGAATTAATATCAGCTTAAATAATTACCTTCAATTGCAATGCACTTGGATGTCCACTGCTTCTCAAAAGTTGTCAAAAGCTTTTTCTGCCGAATGCTAATTACATATTCCTTGAAATCAAACTCTTCAGTATAGAAACGAAGCAGTCCCAACCAAAGCTCCCCTAATGATTCTGTATTCTTTCCAAGTGAAGGTAAACGCTTTTTCTACATATAAAAAAAAGAAAAGAAAAGAACAATGCCTATACAGTACTATCCAAAATATGGACAGCAAACCCAAGTTCAACTATTAAATTATACAAATCCTAACACATATCAGTGAGCATTCTATAACATAAAGACTATTTTTAAATTACCAGTTCTTCTGTTTTATCAAAGAAAAAAGCATTCCATCCATCAACCATTCTCTGTGGAATCTGTTTTCCATCAAAGATCTGCATAAAAAAATTAATTGTATTATTAGATTTCAAGTGATCCAACCCAAAGGCCCAAATACTCTGCTATCATTTTAGAATTTACCTAAAAGACATACTGAAATACTTCTTCCAAAAAGAACATGTTAGAATGATGGTATAATTTGATGCCAAGAAAGTAATGAATAAAACATATTTGCAAGACCAAAGCTGGAAAAGGATATCTTAAGAGCATCAAACTCCAAATGATACATTTGATTTCATCTGATGGTACCTACTTGGCCTATCAAAACACATCCAGTCCAAGAATACTGAAGCAAAATGAAAAAAAGAAAATGAAAACAGCATTTTCATCAAAGGATCATAGATATAAAAATACAAAACAGATAATACCTACTGACTGTGCACCCAAAGGAAATCAACAGAACTGTTTTGGGACCTAGTATCTTTAATCATTTATCTGTATTAGATAAGGCTAAAAAGCAATTGGACAATCATTTTTTAAAAATGGAAAATTAGGGCTGGGCACAGTGGCTTATGCCTGTAATCCCAACACTTTGGGAGGCCAAGGCAAGTGGATCACAAGTTCAGGAATTCGGGACCAGCCTGGCCAACACGGTGAAACTCCATCTCTGCTAAAGATACAAAAAAATTAGCCAGGCGTGGTGGCACGCGCCTGTAATCCCAGCAGCTCACGAGGCTGAGGCAGGAGAATCACTTGAACCCAGGAGGCAGAGGTTGCAGTGAGCCAAGATCACGCCACTGCACTCCAGCCTGGGTAACAGGGCGAGACTTTGTCTCACCCCTGCCCCCAAAAAAAAAGAAATTAGAAAGCTTTCCCTTACATTTTGATAAAGATTATAAACCTTATTAATTATAAATAATTCACTGTCCTAAGGAAGGAGAAGAAAAAATGCTATTTTACAAGAAGAAAAGTATCCCATAAGATGACTGTGTAACTGACTTCCACCAGTAATTGAGACTTTTATTCTAAAGGAGGCTTAAGAAAGAGATGCAATAAAGTAGGAAGGTACAATAGATTCAGTCAGCAGACCTCATTTCTAGCCTCCATCTCGAGGAACAGTAATCCTGGGCAAGACCATCATCTCCCTAAATACTCACTTTTTCCAGTAAAAATGAGAAAAGACTATATAGTTAGTAGTTTATAAATGGAGAAAACATACCACACTACCTTTTCTTTACCCTCTACCCCCACTAATGGGTAACAGACTATATATAGTTAAACCAGAATACCATTTAAAACCACTAGATAAGGTGGGCCTGTTCCAATGGCCTTTTCCATTTTTGAGGTGACAGTGATTGATACTGGCCCCTCCAATTTTATTCTCAGATTTAAGTTATTTGTGGGTAAGGACTATGGCTTATTTCTGAAACCCAGAACCCTACCAGACCAAAGCCATGCAGAGAACACTTAATATATGTTTACTGAATTAATATATTTACTACATAAGTATGTTACACAGAGATCAAGTTTCCAGGGACTAGGGCTAATAAGTTGCTTTTTTATATTTAAATATTACTTAAATAGACACAGTTTACCAAAAGTCACCTGGCATATATTCTGACACTTCATAAATTAAAAAAGTGAAAGACTGAGGCCAGGGGTGGTGGCTCACGCCTATAATCCCAGCACTTTGGGAGGCCAAGGCGGGCAGATCACCTGAGGTCAGGAATTCAAGACACGCCTGGCCAACATGGTGAAACCCCATCTCTACTAAAAACACAAAAAATTGGCCAGGTGTGATGGCTTGTACCTGTAGTCCCAGCTACTTGGAGGCTGAGGCAAGAGAATCACTTGAACCCAGGAGATGGAGGTTAAAATGAGCTGAGATCCCACCACTGTACTCCAGCCTGAGTGACACCATGAGACTCTGTCTCAAAAGCAAAAAAAAAAAAAAAAAAAAAAAAAAAAGTGAGAGACTAGCAATTAATTACAGCTATTAATATCTGAAACAAAAGACACAGGACCTCTGACCTCAAGAAAGAAGTGAAGAAGCCAGGCGCGATGGCTCACACCTGTAACCCCAGCACTTTGGGAGGCTGAAGTGGGTGGATCACCTGAGGTCAGGAATTCGAGACCAGCCTGACCAACATGGACAAACCTCATCACTACTAAAAATACAAAATTAGCTAAGCATCAAAATTAGCTAAGCATGGTGGTGCATGCCTATAATCCCAGCTACTTTCGAGGCTGAGGCAGAAGAATTGCTTGAACCTGGGAAGAGGAGGTTGCGGTGGGCTGAGATAGTGCCATTGCACTCCAGACTGGGCAAGAAGAACAAAACTTTGTCTCAAAAAAAAAAAAAAGAAAAAAAAGAAAGAATTGAAGATATTAAGAGGCTGAAGTATATTATTTTACCATTAAAGATTCAGATGCTATTATAGGTATTTCATGTTTTGTAAAAATATATTTATTTGCTAGATATTGAAATAAACAAGCTACCTCTTTAGAACCCTGTTTTCAGATAATTCATACTTCATTTGGAGTAACAACAATCCAACTCTTTAGATCTTGATTGTTTTTAAGAGACTTCATACTTTTCAGTAATATCCATGATCCAACCCAACTATGTTGGCTGATAACGCAGTGGAGTAGGTCTGTGGGCCTTGGAAAGTTAACTCATCACTCACTTGGCCTATTCTTTTGAATTCTCATGTTTTACTAGGTTTAATTCTCCCCGCTTTGTTTCAGCCCTCAGAAGTACTAATGCTATCCACTCTTTTACACACACACACACACACACACTCTCTCTCTCTCCTTCTCCCTGCTGTCTCTCTGTTCTCTCTCATTAAACACAAATCATCCTCCACTCAGCACTCACTCAGTCCTCCCTCTAAACAAGTAAGTCAATCATAAGGATCACCAAATAAGTCAATCATATTTACATAAAGAATGAGCCTAAACATTTCCACATTTCTTATCTTATTGTGATATTCTAATATGGACTGCTATATATAATTTTTTTTTCTTTTTAGACAGAGGCTCGCTCTGTCACCCAGGGTGGAGTGCAGTGGCATAATCTCAGCTCACTGCAACCTCCACCTCGCCAGTTCAAACCATTCTTATGTCTCAGCCTCTCCTGAGTAGCTGGGATTACAAGCATGTGCTACCATGCCCAGCTAATTTTTGTATTTTTTAGTAGAGATAGGGTTTCACCATACAGGCCAGGCTGGTCTTGAACTCCTGACCTCAAATAATCCATCCACCTCAACCTCCCAAAGTGCTGAGATTATAGATGTGAGCCACAATGCCCGGCCTAAATTGTAATTTTTTAGTTGCGGTAAAATACACAAAATATAAAACTCACCATCATAAGCATACACTTCTGTGGCATAAGTATAGTCACACTGTTGTGCTACCATTACCACCATCCATTCACATAATTCTTATCATCTGGTACAATTAAAACTCCGTATTAATTAAACTATTACTTCCTATTTCTCCCCTCGATTCCCTGGCAACCACCATTCTATTTTCTATCTCTATGAATTTGACTATTCTAGGTACCTCATACAAGTAGAATCAAACAGTATTTGTCTTTCTGTGACTGGATTATTTCACTTTGCATAATGTCCTCGAGGTTAATCCATTAAGGTGACATTTTTAAGCTGATAAAGGTTGAAAAAAACATTTCCATAAAATCATGTGTGAAGACCCCCAAATCTGTGTTGGAATTAATTTTTTTGTGAAAATTTGCTTTTACTTATGATGATTTCCTAGGGTACAGCAAAAATCTTCCGCCTAGGAAAGCTCCTTTTGACCTAAAGAACTTTGTATTGCTGACCATCAAAAAATTGCTCTTAGCTGAGCCTTAGTAATGCCCAGCCACTTAAAGTTAAGTTTAATTACAAATGAAAGCAGACATCATTAGCTTCGTTAAACATATCTTTACACTTAAAAGATGACTGATGCCTACCGACAATACTTAAATGACACCAGAGCAATGGACAATGAGGTCCCATATGACAACCATTAAAAAAGGCCAGAAACAAAAATCCATGTATCAGTCTATCTACATCTCAAAGTCCCTCAAAATCAAACTTCATTATGATAGGAAATATTTCATGAACTGTCTCTCATTTGATCAATATAAGCAGATGTCAAACATATAATAAAAGAATTTTGAAAGCTGAATATGGTAGTCCTACCTAGATTTTCCCAATAATAATATTAATGATGCTGCTAATGATCATAAATCATAATAGTAAAAATAATAAAAGCAAGCACCATTTATGAATGCCTACTTTAGCACCTACTATATTCAAAAGCATTCAACATTTCTGTTCCTCATATCGACACTGAAATATTGTCATTATTACATTTTTAATGATGATGAAACTCAGACTCATGCAGATTGCTGAAGGCCAAAATCTTAGAATTAGGATTCTGACTAGTTACCTCTGGCTCCAAATACCATGCCCTGCTATTTCCATTACATCATGCTACTACCTCAGTGACTCCTAACCCATGAGTAAGGAGAGAATACAGACAAACCGCCAAGAAAACCAAATTTGTGGTCCATTTTTGTTAATCATACTATCCTGACAAAGTGGCAAATGATATTAATGGAGAAACAGTACATACGATCCCCTATTTAAAGGCTAAAGAACAATTAGAATAATACAGAGAGTAATACTGGCCTTTGTAGGCCTAATTAATTTACGGTAAATTGTAAACATCCTCCAGTGAACAAATCTGTTAAAAAACAAATCAGTCCTAGACAGGCTAATTAAGAAAAAAAGAGAAGGTATATAAATTACTAACAACAGAAAAAGAGGACATCAATACTTATCTCATGGACATTAAAAAAATTAAAAAAAAATACCATGAACTACAATTTTGATAACCTAGATGAGATGAACCAATTCCTTAAAAGACACAATATGCCAGCCGGGCACGGTGGCTCATGCCTGTAATCCCAGCACTTTGGGATGCTGACGTGGGCAGATCATCTAAGGTCAGGAGTTTGAAATCAGTCCGGCCAACATGGTGAAACCCT